TTGGAATTTTCTCATTTTCTTTGACTAATTTCATGAAATTTTAAAATTTTTTCAGAAAATCTTAGGATTTCATTGATTCCTCTTCAAACCTCTTGTAAAGTCTTCTTCTACTTTCTACGAAACTGGAAAAGTCCTTGTTGATGACAAAAAAAATTTCCTGTTTGTAAAAACTTGGAATTTTCTCATTTTCTTTGACTAATTTCATGAAATTTCAAAATTTTTTCAGAAAATCTTAGGATTTCATTGATTCCTCTTCAAACCTCTTGTAAAGTCTTCTTCTACTTTCTACGAAACTGGAAAAGTCCTTGTTGATGACGAAAAAAATTTCCTGTTTGTAAAAACTTGGAATTTTCTCATTTTCTTTGACTAATTTCATGAAATTTCAAAATTTTTTCAGAAAATCTTAGGATTTCATTGATTCCTCTTCAAACCTCTTGTAAAGTCTTCTTCTACTTTCTACGAAAGTAGAAAAGTCCTTGTTGGTGAAGAGAAAAATTTCCTGTTTTTAAAAATTTGGAATTTTCTCATTTTCTTTGACTAATTTCATGAAATTTTAAAATTTTTTCAGAAAATCTTAGGATTTCATTGATTCCTCTTCAAACCTCTTGTAAAGTCTTCTTCTACTTTCTACGAAACTGGAAAAGTCCTTGTTGATGACAAAAAAAATTTCCTGTTTGTAAAAACTTGGAATTTTCTCATTTTCTTTGACTAATTTCATGAAATTTCAAAATTTTTTCAGAAAATCTTAGGATTTCATTGATTCCTCTTCAAACCTCTTGTAAAGTCTTCTTCTACTTTCTACGAAACTGGAAAAGTCCTTGTTGATGACGAAAAAAATTTCCTGTTTGTAAAAACTTGGAATTTTCTCATTTTCTTTGACTAATTTCATGAAATTTCAAAATTTTTTCAGAAAATCTTAGGATTTCATTGATTCCTCTTCAAACCTCTTGTAAAGTCTTCTTCTACTTTCTACGAAAGTAGAAAAGTCCTTGTTGGTGAAGAGAAAAATTTCCTGTTTTTAAAAATTTGGAATTTTCTCATTTTCTTTGACTAATTTCATGAAATTTTAAAATTTTTTCAGAAAATCTTAGGATTTCATTGATTCCTCTTCAAACCTCTTGTAAAGTCTTCTTCTACTTTCTACGAAACTGGAAAAGTCCTTGTTGATGACGAAAAAAATTTCCTGTTTGTAAAAACTTGGAATTTTCTCATTTTCTTTGACTAATTTCATGAAATTTCAAAATTTTTTCAGAAAATCTTAGGATTTCATTGATCCTTCTTCAAACCTTTTGTAAAGTCTTCTTCTACTTCCTACGAAATTAGGAAAGTCCTTGTTGGTGAAGAGAAAAATTTCCTGTTTTGAAAAACTTGGAATTTTCTAATTATCTTTCGCTGATTTCATGAAATTTTAAAATTTTTTCAGAAAATCTTAGGATTTCATTGATTCCTCTTCAAACCTCTTGTAAAGTCTTCTTCTACTTTCTACGAAACTGGAAAAGTCCTTGTTGATGACGAAAAAAATTTCCTGTTTGTAAAAACTTGGAATTTTCTCATTTTCTTTGACTAATTTCATGAAATTTCAAAATTTTTTCAGAAAATCTTAGGATTTCATTGATTCCTCTTCAAACCTCTTGTAAAGTCTTCTTCTACTTTCTACGAAAGTAGAAAAGTCCTTGTTGGTGAAGAGAAAAATTTCCTGTTTTTAAAAATTTGGAATTTTCTCATTTTCTTTGACTAATTTCATGAAATTTTAAAATTTTTTCAGAAAATCTTAGGATTTCATTGATTCCTCTTCAAACCTCTTGTAAAGTCTTCTTCTACTTTCTACGAAACTGGAAAAGTCCTTGTTGATGACGAAAAAAATTTCCTGTTTGTAAAAACTTGGAATTTTCTCATTTTCTTTGACTAATTTCATGAAATTTCAAAATTTTTTCAGAAAATCTTAGGATTTCATTGATTCCTCTTCAAACCTCTTGTAAAGTCTTCTTCTACTTTCTACGAAACTGGAAAAGTCCTTGTTGATGACGAAAAAAATTTCCTGTTTGTAAAAACTTGGAATTTTCTCATTTTCTTTGACTAATTTCATGAAATTTCAAAATTTTTTCAGAAAATCTTAGGATTTCATTGATTCCTCTTCAAACCTCTTGTAAAGTCTTCTTCTACTTTCTACGAAAGTAGAAAAGTCCTTGTTGGTGAAGAGAAAAATTTCCTGTTTTTAAAAATTTGGAATTTTCTCATTTTCTTTGACTAATTTCATGAAATTTTAAAATTTTTTCAGAAAATCTTAGGATTTCATTGATTCCTCTTCAAACCTCTTGTAAAGTCTTCTTCTACTTTCTACGAAACTGGAAAAGTCCTTGTTGATGACGAAAAAAATTTCCTGTTTGTAAAAACTTGGAATTTTCTCATTTTCTTTGACTAATTTCATGAAATTTCAAAATTTTTTCAGAAAATCTTAGGATTTCATTGATTCCTCTTCAAACCTCTTGTAAAGTCTTCTTCTACTTTCTACGAAAGTAGAAAAGTCCTTGTTGGTGAAGAGAAAAATTTCCTGTTTTTAAAAATTTGGAATTTTCTCATTTTCTTTGACTAATTTCATGAAATTTTAAAATTTTTTCAGAAAATCTTAGGATTTCATTGATTCCTCTTCAAACCTCTTGTAAAGTCTTCTTCTACTTTCTACGAAACTGGAAAAGTCCTTGTTGATGACGAAAAAAATTTCCTGTTTGTAAAAACTTGGAATTTTCTCATTTTCTTAGACTAATTTCATGAAATTTCAAAATTTTTTCAGAAAATCTTAGGATTTCATTGATTCCTCTTCAAACCTCTTGTAAAGTCTTCTTCTACTTTCTACGAAACTGGAAAAGTCCTTGTTGATGACGAAAAAAATTTCCTGTTTGTAAAAACTTGGAATTTTCTTATTTTTTTTGACTAATTTCATGAAATTTCAAAATTTTTTCAGAAAATCTTAGGATTTCATTGATTCCTCTTCAAACCTCTTGTAAAGTCTTCTTCTACTTTCTACGAAACTGGAAAAGTCCTTGTTGATGACGAAAAAAATTTCCTGTTTGTAAAAACTTGGAATTTTCTCATTTTCTTTGACTAATTTCATGAAATTTCAAAATTTTTTCAGAAAATCTTAGGATTTCATTGATTCCTCTTCAAACCTCTTGTAAAGTCTTCTTCTACTTTCTACGAAAGTAGAAAAGTCCTTGTTGGTGAAGAAAAAAATTTCCTGTTTTTAAAAACTTGGAATTTTCTAAATTTTCTTTGACTAATTTCATGAAATTTCAAAATTTTTTCAGAAAATCTTAGGATTTCATTGATTCCTCTTCAAACCTCTTGTAAAGTCTTCTTCTACTTTCTACGAAAGTAGAAAAGTCCTTGTTGGTGAAGAGAAAAATTTCCTGTTTTTAAAAATTTGGAATTTTCTCATTTTCTTTGACTAATTTCATGAAATTTTAAAATTTTTTCAGAAAATCTTAGGATTTCATTGATTCCTCTTCAAACCTCTTGTAAAGTCTTCTTCTACTTTCTACGAAACTGGAAAAGTCCTTGTTGATGACAAAAAAAATTTCCTGTTTGTAAAAACTTGGAATTTTCTCATTTTCTTTGACTAATTTCATGAAATTTCAAAATTTTTTCAGAAAATCTTAGGATTTCATTGATTCCTCTTCAAACCTCTTGTAAAGTCTTCTTCTACTTTCTACGAAACTGGAAAAGTCCTTGTTGATGACGAAAAAAATTTCCTGTTTGTAAAAACTTGGAATTTTCTCATTTTCTTTGACTAATTTCATGAAATTTCAAAATTTTTTCAGAAAATCTTAGGATTTCATTGATTCCTCTTCAAACCTCTTGTAAAGTCTTCTTCTACTTTCTACGAAACTGGAAAAGTCCTTGTTGATGACGAAAAAAATTTCCTGTTTGTAAAAACTTGGAATTTTCTCATTTTCTTTGACTAATTTCATGAAATTTCAAAATTTTTTCAGAAAATCTTAGGATTTTATTGATTCCTCTTCAAACCTCTTGTAAAGTCTTCTTCTACTTTCTACGAAACTGGAAAAGTCCTTGTTGATGACGAAAAAAATTTACTGTTTGTCGAAATTTGGAATTTTCTCATTTTCTTTGACTAATTTCATGAAATTTCAAAATTTTTTCAGAAAATCTTAGGATTTCATTGATTCCTCTTCAAACCTCTTGTAAAGTCTTCTTCTACTTTCTACGAAAGTAGAAAAGTCCTTGTTGGTGACGAAAAAAATTTACTGTTTGTCGAAATTTAGAATTTTATAATTTTCTTTCGCGAATTTCATGAAATTTTAAAATTTTTTTAGAAAATCTTAGTATTTTATTGATCCCTCTTCAAACCTTTTGTAAAGTCTTCTTCTACTTTCTATGAAAGTAGAAAAGTGCTTGTTGATGACGAAAAAAATTTCCTGTTTGTAAAAACTTGGAATTTTCTCATTTTCTTTGGCTAATTTCATGAAATTTTAAAATTTTTTCAGAAAATCTTAGAATTTCATTGCTCTCTCTTCAATCTTTTTGTAAAGTCTTCTTCTACTTTCTACGAAAGTAAAAAAGTCTTTGTTGATGACGAAAAAAATTTCCTGTTTGTTAGAACTTGGAATTTTCTAAATTTTTTTTTTTTGACTAATTTCATGAAATTTTAAAATTTTTTTAGAAAATTGTGACTGGAATTGTAAAAAATCAAAGTCTGGAAAACCTAGAAAAGGCATGTAATTTTAATATCTTCACTCGGTGGAAACCCTGTAAAACCATTGGTTAAAGAAGTTCCTCAATTTTCTTTTTAAGTTTTACCATTTTTCAAAAAATAAAATGAAAGGAATTTTAGTTCGCATAAGTTTTATACATATTTTAAAATGTTTTTCATTCCCCTGAAAATGGGTAGTCTCTAAATTTTGACCGGTAATATATTTTGTTTCAATGTCTTATTAGTTGTTTGTTAATTAAAGTTTTATTTTAATGTTTTTGTTTACTTTTAGAAACAACTCGTACACAATGGAGTGAAAGTGTGACAACAACGTTGATTGAGAATTATTCGATAATAAAAGAAGAAAATAAATTAAAAGGAGACAGTTTTTGGTTGAAGATATCAAAATTAATGATGGAAAAAAATTTTTCAGTAGCTGGACATTTGTGCGAAACAAAATGGAATTCTCTTTGCAGAACATATAAAAATATTATCGACCGCAAAAAGCAAACCGGCACAAGTCCTCCAAAGAAATGGATTTATTTCGAAGAAATGAATAATGTTATGTTTAAGAAACCTGAAATTAATCCGCCGGCTGTTGCTTCAAGTCTGCAAGGATATAAAAGAAAGATAATTAAAGAAATTAATGATCCGTGCGATGATAAAGATTATCAAAATAAAAAGAAAAAAAATAATGCAAAAAATGAAAGTTCAATGACACTAAGAGAATTGAATGAGGACGCTAATAGGAGATTCAAAGAGAATTTGGCAAGAAAAGACGCGTTATTGGACATTATGAAGGAGTTTCTTAAAAATAAGAAAAAAGAGAAAGAAGATTCTGAATAAATTCAAGTAAACAATCAATTTCTTTTCTGTCTGCTGTCATAGTTAAGTTATAGTAGCGCGCGAGAATCACAATATATTGTTTGGCAATTATTCTCCAGTTGGTTTGCTTTTGATTTTCAGAAATAAAAAAATTTTCTTATGTGATAAAGTAAAAGAAAGTATAGTTAAATTTTATTTTAATTTCGTATTTTAATATTTTTTAAGTAAAAGGTAAATTTTAATTTTGAAAGACCTTATTTTCAAATTAATAAATTAGAAATTTTCGTAAGAATTTCTCTAGTTAATTAAAGTTTGGGTTAATTTTAAATAAGAAAAAAATATTTATAAAAATTCAAATTTATTTTTTATTAATTAAATATACTAATACTTGAAACTGTTAAATATAATAAATAAATTATTTTCATATTTGATAAATTAATTAAAGGGTATTGTAAAATTTTTTTATTTTAATTAAAAATCAAACAACAACTCAAGTATCATTGGCGTTTAGCTTTTGAAAAAAAGTTATATGTAACTTGTTTTGTGCTTAATTCCCGAAACAGTTGCTTTCTTGTATAACATTTCCTATTTATTATTATTATTTTTTTTTGATTGTCCAATCTGTTGAAAGATGAGTTTCTTTGAGTTAATCAATAATGGTTATACGACGCTGTGATAACAAATAATTTATAATTTTATTGTAAACCGTGATCGCAATTGCATCAGTATTATGTTTTTACACAAAGTAATCTATTAAGTGCGTTTGTAAGTGTTTTTCTCTGTAGACCTCGAATAAGTTTATCAATATTTTCATCTTTATAGTTTAATTGACTCGAATTTATTATTTTTAAGGGGAAGGGATTACGTAAATCCCATTGTGGAAATCGATTTGTTTTTCGATAATAATTATAATTTGAGCCAAATTGCAGTATTCTAAAGTCGGTTGACTTTAAATAGTTTTTAATTCTAAGTTTAACTAGAGAAATCAAAAATGTCTAAGTTTAGTTCTAATGAAAAAAATTTTTAATGAAGAGTACGTCTGTTCACAGATTCAAAATTTATGTTAAACAAAGAATTGAAACTCTTTGTTTTAGTTTAAAAAAACTATTCAACCAACATTACTTAAAATTTAAGGCATTTTATATTAAGTTTTATAAAGTTTTATAAAAATGGTTGCAACTGCCCTACATTTAAGTGTACAGATTATTGTACTCTAGACAAAAGTGTGATACAATTGTTCGACAATCTAATGCTGAACGTCGACTTTAAAATATGTATTGTTAAAAAATATAAAGATAAATTTTTTTTTTATTTTCTAGACTGTGTTTTATATGTACTTTGTAAATTTTTTGTTTAGTTATATTAAAAATCAATACTGTATATTTACCAAAGATAAAGTTTATTTTAAAGAAATAAAAATAAATATATGGCAATTAGTAGTTACATTCATTTTAAATGTTACTTTCCAGCAACACTAGCTCGACACATGAAATATAATAATCGTGGAAAAATTACAGAATGTTTACAAAAGATAATCGTGATTATTGCATTTGACGATTTGCATACAATTGTTCAGCAATAATATTGCGCTTCATAATTGCAGGAAATTGAAAGTTTTGATTTTCTATTTGAGGGTTTCTGGCATCATTTACTTCAGCATGATTATCATTTGCAGCGTCATCACCATCATCATTTTGAATGTTTAATTCTTCATCAAATTCATCATGTAATGAAATACATATGTTGTGGAGACAGCAACAAGTAAGAATGATTAAGGATGCATATTCCACATTCTGCAAATACAAGTACTTCAAGCGCCGAAAGCGAGCTTTTAGTAAGGCAAAGACTCTTTCTATTATCTGCCGCGTTAGGGCATGAACTCGATTGAAGTTGCTCTCCGTTGGTGTTAAATTACCATAATTCTTGTATGGTGGCAATAAATTAAATTGCAAAGTATAAATTTTGTCCCCAAGAATATGAGTTTGGTCCGGGAAATAGTGCTCATAATCTCTGATACTCTCTTCATTAATTGTACTTAATGACCATACTCGAGCATCATTAACACTTCCAGGACAAGCTGCATAGACGTCAATAAAGCGCATTCTGGCGTCGCATATACCTTGCATATTAATGGAATAGTATCCTTTTCTGTTCATGTAGCTATCCGAATGTTCATGCGGAGCACTAATTTCGATATTACAACCGTCAACGACACCAATAACCCCTGGAAAGTGAGCTATTTCCAGAAACTCCCTCTGATTGATTGTAATCGCCTGTCCCGTAGGCCACACAATAAATTCTCGTGCACGTACACTAAATACATTTGAAACCTCCATAACGCACTCCCACGCCGTGGATTGTGCAACGCCAAACCTATCAGCAACAGATCTACAAGAAAAATTAAGATTTTTGCAACACATCTTATAGATTATTAATAATAATTAATTTTATTTTCAAATATTGATTTTTTAATAATTTCAAATTCAAATTTTAAGACAATTCAATTATTTTTACTAATTAATAACTCTTGTTTATTAATTACAAAAATTGCAATAAAATTTTTCGCAAGAATTCAATTTTCATAAATAAATAACAATCATCGTAAGAAGTATAAGTAGTAAAAATTTTTTTGCAAAAGTTTAATTATTTTAGAAAATTTTAATAAATCCTTGGAAATAATCCCATTATTTATTTAAATAGAAAAATCTTTGCAAAAATTAAATCATTTTCGAAACAATATTTCACAAAAAAATGTAATGTTTCACTTAATTCGTTATAAAATTTTTCAGAAGAATTTAATTATTTTCTAAAATTATAATAAATCCTTCAAGAAAATAAATCTTATTTATCCTAAATAGTAACATTCTTTGCAAAAATTTAATTATTTTTAAAACTTTTAATTAAAATTATTAAAGAAACTCCATTGAAAAAAAAATCAAAGGAATTCTTAAAAAAGAATGTAATTAAAATTTTTAAAAAATTTAACAAAATTTTTCGTAAGAATTCAATTATTTTCATAAATAATAAAATTATTCGAAGGAATTCTATTCTAATCCAATTTTTTAATAAAATTCTTTGCAACAATTCGATGATTTTTAGTACATTAATTTTAAAATTAAAAGCATTAAAAAAGAAATTTATTTAAAAAAGTTAGAAAACAAAAAAGCAACTAACGTCAAATTGCGAACAGATTACCGGAATGCAACGATTGTTATTAATATGGAAGAAGATAGAAGATAATATAGATGTTTAATCAAATTAGATCAACTTCAATTTTGTCAAACTTACATTTTAAGTAAATAGTAATAACTTTTTTTATACTTTAAAATCTAATATTATAAGTTCTTTTAAAAATATTTTATACTGGTTAAAAATTAATTTAGAATTTTCTGCACTTTTTCTACTTTCATAGAAATTTCCTTTTTATGAAAATATAATAAAGTAAAAACTCAACGGAGCGAAAATTTAGTTTAATATATTAGGGTTTATGAATATGAACAATGAATCCGAAAATCGCGATGTGCTTCATAATGAACCGCAATAAAATTTTTAACACTAATTTCATAAGTTTAAAATATTAAAAAATTTATTATTAGAAATGTTAATAACTTAAAATTTGTTAATTGATTTTCCAATTACAATGTTAAAAGAATTTACTGACAGCTAATGCTTAGCTGTGGAAAGTTTACCATTAAATATTAAGAAAAAATAAAAAAAAAGAATTAAATTTTATAATTGTTATAATTTTATGAAAATGTGACATATATTTGCCGTTTAAATTTTAATTACTTTTTTAATTCGTTGGTGCTGGGATTTCAGGTATAGCTACAATACCCAACAATCTATCAAATTTTATTAAAATTTGTTCAGCCAATTTTACATGTATATAATTACACATATTTTTTTAAACTAACAATTTTGGTAGTCTTACTAAACAGAAAATTAAAATATAATTTTTAAATTTTATATGTGATTTTATTAATATATACATACCGAAATACTTCTTGATTTCCAAATGTCCAAATAGTTATTAGTAACTTTTTTGTTACAGGAATTTTTGAGTAAGGAGAAACTGATTTTATATCCTCACCAAGTATCTCACTTAGAAATGTGAATGTAGTTTTACTCATTCGAAAATGAGAACGAAAATCTGTAAATAATTAAAAATATATTTATAGTACAAAATTATTTAATTAAAATGAATTAATATATTTCATAAAAAATAATTAAATTAGAATTATTATGCAAAAAATTAATAATTGTCAGAATGGAATATTTAATTTAACTAAGAAAACCGAAAACAAAAAATTTTTCTTCTCGACGGTAAAATCCAATATTAAAAAAAAAAAAATAAAGAACGGTGCTGAAAAAAGGCCAAAATTTGCCTATAACGGAATTGTAAAATCATAGTAGTTTCCGAAAGTTTGAACTCTGCTAAAACCGAAAATGATAGTTAAAAAGTTGCAAAGTAGAGGGAAGAGGGTGAAAAACTACCCCAAAGTCATAAATTTTAATAATTCTTGAAAATTAATAACATTTAAAAAAATTAAATCAAAATCGATTGAAAATTGTTACTCGGAAGTTTTTGAGGTCGCTGATTACACATCTGATGTTAGTTTTTCAAAATTAAAAATGGCGGAAAAATTTTTTCAAAAATAATAAAATTTGCTTGAAAATTGTTACTCGGAATTTTTTGGGTTCGCTGATAACGAATATTATATTGGTTTTTTTTAAATATTTTTAATGGCGGATCAGATATGTAATAAAATTAAAGCGAATCCATTTGTTTTTAAAAATTGCCCGTCTTTTTGCATCCGCCAAATGGTGCTAGATGTGCTAATTAATTAAGTGCAAAATCGCGGTGAATCCTTATTAAAAAGCATATCTACTTAGATTTGGTATTTAATCAATGAAATTGAGCACAATAAGTCTATCAGGTAATTAGCCTCTATTTGTAGAGGCTCGAGCTTTGAGTTTATTATCTCGAAAAGCATAACTACGTAGATAGTTGTTCATTTCATTGTTCACAAGGAAATTACTGGTCAGATGACCTGAAACCTTAAAAACCTGTGCTGTGGTTAGACTATGTAGATAGGCCTTTTAGCATCAGAATTCGTTGGAAATTAATGTAGATAGTGTTTTTAGTCAAATTAACACTTAATCAATTCTAAAATCAATTAAGATCAATAATTCTGACTAGCACAGAAAAATTCGTCTTTTTTTTACAAATCCAACGGTATAAAAAACTCTTTTTTGATAAAAAGTGTAAATATTGTGTTTTTAAATAAGGACGGCAGCCTTCCTTACACAATTTTAAACTTGTAAATTTGAAAATGAAGAACTTAAAAAAAATTTTATTTTTGATAAATATTTTTTTTTAACAAATTATTTTGTTAGTGCGTATTCCTTAGCGATGTGGAAAGTGGAATATACTCAAAAAAAGTTTTAGTTAGATTTACCAAAAAACCTGTTTTTAATTAGAAGTTCGTGTTAAATATACTCTAACTAGATTTCTTCTGGTTAGGTTAACCAGAATTCTATTCAATTTAACCAGAATTCTAGTTGCTTTAACTAGAATTTCGTGTTAAATATACCCTAAGCAGAACTTTTTTCAATGTACCACTTTTCTTAGTGTACTTTAAAATTGGAAAATGAAAATCTGGAAATTTAACAATATAGTGGTCGAAAGTAATGCTAAAAATAATCCTTTTATAAATAATTAAGGTTTAATGGTATGAGAACAAATGTAATTGATACCTGACGGTTCAAATCTCGGGATAATTAACTCAAAATAATTTTCCGTCTTTGGGATTGGAGCCCTTTTCTTTCCAGCAGCTAATAACAAGAGTTCTTCCGCTTCCTGTTCCTCTTCGTCGTCGAAAATTATGTCGACAGCTGTTGTAATTAGCATTAATTCTTCCTCAGTATTACCTTTATTTTGTAAAAAAATATTAATTTGTAGAATTCAAATTAAAAATTTTTAAAAACTATATGTAATTAATAATTGAAGTGTATAAAAAACATTCAGATTTTTTTTATGTGACAGGGAAAGTTAAAAGGGACCTACAAGTCGAAAATAGTACGTTGTGCACCAAGTGCGGAAAGAATCTATTTTCCGATGAGTTTGAAGTATGCTGCTCGAGTGAAACAAGAGCAGTAATCAAACTCGTCGGAAAAGCTTCTTTCGCACTTGATAATATGGAAAATTAAAAAAATTACGATTTATTTAACTAACGCTTGAAGTTATAGAAGGAATAATAATAAACAATTGTTTCAAAATAAATGACAATACTTTTAACAATTTAATAACATTTTATATTACTTGAAATTACATATTTGATAAATTTAATATATTTTTTTTACAATAATTTACAATGATACCATTAAATATAATTAATCAGAATTTATGCAAAATTTATTTATTGATATCCATTATAAGTATATTTTTGACAATAAATGAAAAATTGTAATTAAAAATAGTTTATAGAGGTATAATTAAAAATATTGGATATAAAAATATTTTTTAAAAACTAAAAATTATTTTAATAAACATTAGTAAATATACTATTGAATAATTAGAAAATATTAATTCATTTACTAATTATATATAATTAAAAATTTTTAATATTCCTAAATAATAAAAATTTTGTAATAAAAAATAAATAAGTTAGCTTAGTTCAAAAAACAAATTTACTTAAAACAAGAAAAAAATATAAATAACGAACTATCTTAATAATTTAATTAATTAATTATATATAGGTAATTGTACAAATTTTAATATATTCAAAAGCAATTAAAATTTTTTAAATTAAAATAATTTAACCTCAAAAGAGGTTAAATTAAATAAATACGCCTCCTGGGTGTTGATTTATTTAAAATATTTGAATTAATCTTACCTGCTGCCATTTTTTTGTAACTGTTTTTCTTTAACTACTCCTGCAAGAGAAACAGTTACTACCAGTAGATTCCACCAACAAATTTGTGCACAATTTTAAAAAAGAACGGAAAAATAGGTTATGTTTTGACAGAATGTACGGCACGTTTCACAAATTGTCGCAGACTGCAATTTCTGCTCCAATCAGAAGGAGAGGTTTTCGTAACTGGCCACTTACAATCAAGTGACATTCTTGAAGTTATTTTTTTCAATTTGTTATCGTTTGAGCACCACTGGTCACTGTTTTCTATTACTAACAGTGATTGCCGAAAACACCCATTATAAAAATGTTTTATTAAATGGTGTTTCGATCTTTTGATTCGTATTTACTAAATTGAGTTTATTGCGGCTATTCCGTATAGAAATTATTGCTTATTGCTACCTTCAGCGATTGTTCGGACCTCCTGGAACGTCAAATCTTTTATGATCGTCAATAAAAGCATCATCTCATTACGATATTCAGTGACTGCACATTTGCGATTTAAAATCATAATACCACCCTCGATCGAAATTTACTCTACACGCATAAAAATATGGACTTGTCATTTTCATAACAAGGATTTATAAACTTTTTTAATTTTCGATTAATAATAATATATATTCATTTCTTTAAAAGGAGATACTAGTTATTATTTTCTTTTTATTTTCAGCCTCAAAATCTTGTGATGATGGGAAGCTTTCCGGAATGTGATGTCAAATTGTGCGACTTTGAAATCTCGAGAGTAGTCCTGGAAGGTACTGAAGTCAGAGAAATTTTAGGAACACCCGATTATGTTGGTAAGATTCGAATTATTATTAATTTACTTGTAAATATTAAAATTATTTTCAAATATGAAGGAAAATTAATTTTTTCTAAATTTATTATAAATAGAAAATGTAAATGTAATTCAGGGAAATCAGGGAAAGTAAAATTGGTTAAGGAAAGCTCAGGAATTTTTATTAAAGTACTGGATAAAGGTAAATTTTTTGAGAACTTACAAATGATTGTAGAAATTATATTATTTTCAAAAGTAATCAAATTCTTCGCAGAAATTCAGTTATGTTCAAAATTTTTTTTTAAATTCTCATCAAGAATTCAATTATTTATAAAAATAATAAAATTCTTGGCACAATTTCAATTACTTTCACAAAATGTTCCTCACATTACTGAGTTTCAATATCTAATATTTTAATAATATTTTCCAAAAGAATTCAATTATTTAAAAAAAGTTCTGATAACATTCTAAGCAAACATTAAATAATTTTTATAAATAACAAAAATTTAACAGGAACTCCACTAGGTATTTACAAATTTTTTATAAATTTCTCTACAATAATTCAATTGTTTTTCAAAAATTATAAAATTTTTTACAGGGATTCAATTATTTTCATAAAATAAAACTCGTCGCAGAATTTAAATTATTTTTAAGACAATTTTAATCGAATTCCTCGAAAAACGAATTTTATTATTTAGTAGAATAATTGAATTCTTGCAAAGAATTTTTATTACATTTTTTTAAATAATTGAAATTCTGTAAAGAATTTTATTATTTGTGAAAATATTTGAATTTTTGCAACGAATTTTATTATTTATGAAAACAATTAAACTCTTGCAAAGAATTTTTTTTTAAATAATTGAATTGTTCTTTATGAAAAAATTGAATTTTTGACAAGGATTTTATTAAATTATTTGAAAATAATTAAATTTCTCAGCACATTTTCATTATTTATGAAAGTAATTGAGTTCTTGACTATAATTTTATTAACATTTTTAAATATAATTGGATTTCTATTAAAAATTGTGAAAATAATAAAATTTCTGAGCACATTTTTGTTATTTATGAAAATAATTGAATTCTCGCCAAGGAATTTATTAAAATTTTTGAATATAATTGAATTTCGACCAAGAATTTTTTTATTTATAAGAATAATTTAATTCTTTCCAAGAATTATTAAATTTTTTGAAAATAATTGAAGTTTTGCAAAAAGTTTTACTAAATTTAAAAAAAAATTGAATTCTTGTCAATAATTTCATTAAAATTTTTGAAAATAATTAAATTTCATAGTACATTTTTATTATTTACGAAAATAATTATATTTTTGGGATCAATTTTATTAAATGTTTTTTAAATAATTGAATTCTTTTGTAAAATCTTATTAAAGTAGTAGATATTAAAAATAATAATTGAAATTCTATGAAAAATTTTACTACTTGTAAAATAATTGAATTCTTGCGAAAGATTTTATTAAAATTTTTGTAAATAATTTAATTTTTTTCTTTTTTGAAATTTAAATTTTTATAAGTTGTTGAATTTCGTAAAGGTTTGAATTTGAAATTTTTTGAAAATCTTAATTCCTGTGTAATAATAATAATAATGATTAAATATTTACTTACAAAAGAAGTTATTAATGTTTTCGAATAATTTTACATCTAACGAAATTGTCAAATAAATGTATTAGAACATTTTTTTGAGTATCTAATAATTTTTAGAGTAAGTCAGAATATTCTTTAGGGTCAGGAAAAAAGGCAAATTTTTTCTGGAAATCAGCTAAAAGTCAGGGAAAAACAAAATAAATTTTTTGTAGCAACTCTGTAATAATATTTATTTAATTTCTTTTATTATTATTGAAACTGTAAATATTATTTTTTGTTTCATTAACAGTGTTCAAAAGCCGAATATTGTAAAATTTTCTACTTGCAGATTTCACAATATATCATTTTTCTGTGAAAAGAAAATAATAATGATGAATACGGAAGTTGGATAATACAGTAATAAAAAAGGCGATTATAGTTGCTAATTAGAAGTCTATCCTAAAAATATTTAAATGAATTCTCCCTTCTTCTTGTGCATATATGTAAAATACAGAAGTTTCGGGAATGATACCAAAACCATGAGTAAAAACAAACAAACATGAGCTTTTATGGGAAACTTTATCGAATATGTTTTTCGTTTCACACACGAGTTTAACGCGAAGGTGTTGTATTAAATTATACATATCGTATATTTCAATGCCAAGACCTCTGCACGGTATGCGAGACGATAGTATGATGTCACAAACATGTGTTCGTTATTTACGCCCACATCACTGTCACTGAAATGCTGTCATATTGTTATAGAAATTCGAAAAATTCATCAAAAGAAATAGATGAATCAAGAGAAATTTTCATTTACAAATGAATTACGAAAAGTTACGTTATTCCTATTTTGAATTTTTTTTTTCAAATTTAATTACGATTGACAAAAAAAGAATTTCGGAAAAGTACTTCTCTTGGTAAATATTTTGCATATACAATTTTCAAATTTCTTAGTGATAAAATTGCAATATATTCACGGGTATGTTAATGAGGACATTGACATCACATGATTCGCAATAAAATACAAAACTTTAGATAGTTTGATGGCCACTTATTTGGTAGCTGGAAAGAATGGTAGTTGACGAACAAGATTTAATTATATACGATTGACAAGAAAAAAATATTGATAAATATTAAATACTCAATTGCCATTTAACAAGGCGCGAAGTTTTTGTACATTAAACTTTTTTCCCAACAATAGAAATTAAAAAGGAACTAATTAGACTTTAAATTAAGAATGTAAATTCAGATCGAATAATCAACTTTTTCTCCCGTCACTTTCTGTAATCGAATGCCAATTTAATTAGGTAAATGAGAGTTTTTCCCTCTCTGGAATCTTTGAAATTAATTATGAAGACATTTTCTTTGTCTGTTTTTTTAATTTTTTTACTGACAAAGTTATTTCCTGTTTTTTTATTTTTACAGAAATGCCGCAAGTCAGGGAAAAGTCAGGGATTTTTATTAAAAGTACTGGAAAAAATTAAATTTTTAGAATTCAATGAATTATTTATTTTTGTATTTAGATAATTGAATTCTCGTAGAATTTTCTAATAAAAATTGGTTTAGAAGAATTTAAGTTAAAAATTGTAGAAAATAATAATTGAAAAATTTTTTCTTACCTTTTATTTCCGTTTAAAATAATTGATTTATTCTTTTTCAGCTCCTGAAATTTTACACTACGAACCAATAACATTGGCGGCTGACATGTGGTGAGTGTAAAAAAAATTTTTAAAAAAACAATACGAATTCAATTTTATACAATATAAAGTTCCAAGAGCTGTCATGAAATTGTGATTGTTATACTTATCTTTTTATTCCATCGATCAATTCTGAATGTTGACTTGATTTAAATACAGGTCACTGGGTGTAACGACATACGTCCTTCTGACGGGTTTCTCACCATTTGGTGGTGAAACTGATCAGGAGACATTTCAAAATATTTCATTGGGCGAAGTCGACTTCCCAGAGGAACTTTTTGAGGACGTTTCCGCTCAGGCAAAGGACTTTGTTGCCAAACTACTCGTGCTTGATCCAAGGTGTGAATTTACATCAAATTTCGATAAAATATCAAAAATAATAGTCTAATTGTCAAAAAAAAAAGAATTAAAATCAATTGTAATTCGATGCTTTGCTTTTTAATTCCTGAAATGCGATAAAGGAAATATATATTCAAATTTTTATCATTTTCTTGCAAAATGTAGGCGTTTTAATTTTTAAATTTAAATTTTTCGAGAGCCAATATATTGTCAATTTTACAATATTATTCATGTGTTTTATCACGAAACTGGTTTTTTTTATTATTATTAATATCTATCGATTATGGTCTCTTAAATTCTGCTTTTTTTGAATTAAAAAAAGAAACCGAATCGAATTTATTTGCTTCTATTTTCAAAGTAACTAAACATTCTTTTTTACGGTTTTTTTTTAATTTTCAATTAAATTGCTTTCGCATAGAGGAAGAATTGTATTATTAAATTTGTATTTATTTCATGGAAAAATTAATTTCCCTTCTTTTTTTTCCAAAAACAGTGCACGAATGACATCGAAACAATGTTTACGTCATGAATGGTTACGAGGAGCGCCAACACAAGCGTCACCGCACTTACGAAGATATTTATCGAAATCCCGTGAAGTTCTTTTGGAACGAGTTGTGAGCAGGGAAAATTTGCGACGTGCAGCCCTTTTGAGTCAAGCGAGCAGCAATGCAAATCTCACGGAAAGCGATCAAAATCAGGGCCTCAATTGCACATTGAGTCAAAGTGAAATGTGCTTGAGCTACAGTCGTACAGGAAGTCGTGGAAGTCTCCCAGGCAGTGAGGAATTTATGAGTCCAGCCGATTCCCAAACGAGTCTCAATTCATCGCAAACAAGTCTCGCAATGAGCCAGAGTTGTTTACTGAACAAGGAACAAACTCAAGGTCTTCTCACTCAAGCTCAAAGTAAATCGCAGGCAAATTTAAATCTCGGCGCAAGTCGCGGTCTACTGTCACGAATGAGAAGTCTAAATCAAATTCAATCGCAAGCTTGTCTATTGAATGGAAATAAAGGCGCTGGTAAGGAAATTCTCAGTCCACTATTTGGAAGATCAAGGGAAAAACTCTATGGTTTAAAGAGTTTGTCAAAGTCGCAGGGTGTTTTGGATATTTATCGAAGTCTCGAGAGTTTAAGACAGAGGAAGAAAAATCAACGAGCACAAACTGAAGATATGCTTCCAATATTTAAACAACTCAGTGTCGAAATTGCCGCGTCGAATGCCTCCTTGGTCTCATCTTGCGATGCCAATTCACTTCCGGCTCGCGATCGAATTCCAAGGATTTCTCGTCCACGGGAATTGTTAACGAAAATCCCCATTGCCGCTGAGAAATTATCTTCTTCTGGAATTGAGAGCAAAAGAATCGAAAGCAAAATTCCATTTTCCAAAGGAGAGAGTGGAGAAAACAGAAGAGACAATTTGGACAAACTTGGGAAAAAGAATACCGAAGATATGATAGCGAGGGAAATCGAGAGAAAACAGGAACTTAAAATGCAAGGTAAATTTTTTTTCAATGAAATTACATTCAAAACTTGAATTATTTTTGTTAAATAAATAAATAGCAAATCGTGAAAAAAGTAGAAAAAATAGGTTGTAGTAGATGAGTGCGAAGGCTGATATAATAATTGATTTTTTGCGAAAAATTTTCTTCAAATTTTGTATTTAAATCGAATTAACAATTTTCTGTGCAGACGTTCCAAAGAGTTCAACTTCAGGATCGGAGGAGAATCTCGATTCCCTGCAGTCCATTGAATCGGACACGCTCACTGAAGATTCGGACGAGACAACACCCGATCGTAGTCTATTGTCCGTGAAACCGTGTCATAGACAACATTCCGACATTTCGAATCATTCCAACAATTCGGCGAATTCTGATGACAAGGACGAGCACACCGAGTCTGAAAACGAAGAGCCAAAATACACCGTTGCACAATTGGTCTCAGCCTTCAATAAACACCAGGAAGTCGCGTCGAAAACCAGTCTCGAGGCCATCATGACCGAGAAACGAGTCAACGAAGTCACATTCCCAACTGGACCGAAAGCCCTAAGACTCTTCATTCCCGATATCAACATCACCGAGAGAAGTATCGTTCGTCGTAAAACGAGTTACAAACCAAGAAAAAATTGGGAGGAACTACGAAAACGTAGCGAGAAAAACGAGGGCATTCTCAAGGATTTTGACAACGATTCCGGAAACGAAGACGATGAGGACGATATTGAACCGACCGAAACTGAAATAGAGCAGAAAATTATCGATCATTCGACAATTACTCAAACTATTCCCACCGAGCAGACAAAATTCGAAATTCAATTAGTAAAAATTGATCTCAATTCAAAATTAAATGATCAAGCCAAATTCAAAACTTATCAGAATTTTCAACAATGGCCCACCTACGAGAGCAATCAAATTAAACTCACAATCGACGATTCCGCTTTTTTGGAGGAGCCCGAGGTGCGCAATACCCTAGACACCAGAATCGACGAGAAATACAAACAGTGCGTCGACGGCGTCAAGTTAACGAAACACGAAAAGACTGACAAGTTTTCTAAATCTAAAAACGAGAGAACTAGAATTGAAAAATCCGACAAAGGAGAAAACGAGAGAATTAAAATTGAAAAATCCGACAGAGGGGAAAACGAGAGAATTAAAATTGAAAAATACGACAAAGGGGAAAACGAGAGAATTAAAATTGAAAAATACGATAAAGGGGAAAACGAGAGAATTAAAATTGAAAAATCCGACAAAGGGGAAAACGAAAGAACTAAAATTGAAAAATACGACAAAGGGGAAAACGAAACAACTAAAATTGAAAAATACGACAAAGGAGAAAAATCGGATAGAGAAAAATTAGACAAAGGGAAAAGTGTAGAAAAAATACAGAAAACATGCCCAAAATCAAGACCGTCCTTGTATCAAAAAGAACGAGTAGCAAACTACATTTACCCCGAAATACAAATCGCCTCCCACTCACGAAAAGACGACGATCGTGCCTATAAATCAAAATTCACCGACAGCACTGTAAATTTAAAAGACATTTTACAGAAAATCGACAATTTCCAAACAACCCCAAAGGAAAATCTCGAGAATCTACGAAAACGCACAACAATAGCGAAAATAATTCTCAACGATAATTTACTTCCCGACAACGATACAAACAATAATGGAACATCAGGAAATCGTGTCGCAACTCAACAGGAGGAAAATAATTCAAAACTCGACGTTCCACCCTCATTCGTCAGATCCTCATCGCTATCGAGTGAAGGAAGTTGTCCAACCCCCTCGAGTGTTCAATCCGACATTGGAATGTCCTGGGAGGACGTTCATCCAAATCGTGATTCAACACCAAGTCTAGAAAAAGAGGAAATCAAGAATTCCAAACGACTCCCAACATTGTGGACAGAAAAAACGGAATCATCTCCTCGATCAAATATCGAAATGAGAAGTCGTTCGAGTGTCAATTTGGAGGACAGAAAAATTTGGGGTAAAGTTTGCACTGGTTCCTATACACGAGCTATGGAGAGATTTAATAATGGAAAGAGTGCGGATACGAGTCGAAAGTCCGGATCATTGTTGGGTACATCAACAACGCAACAATCGGAGAAAATTCGACGAAAGAGTACGCCGGTGATGCCACAATTTGTCGATTCTTAAAGGAAAAAGAGAAGGAAAATAGATTTTAAAAAAATACCAATTTTATCGAATTGGGAATTTTGTAGAATTTTTTCTTTTATCGAAGCTTATTTCAAGGTTACTGGATGATCGCTAATGAAGGATTTACAACATCTTGGAAAAGAAAATTAATTTTGGAGGCTAAGGAAATTATTTTACAAAAAAAGAATGAAGACTATGATCTAACCTTCTTTCGCGATTATCCAAACTCAAATATCTTCATCTTAGATAAGTTATTTCCTAATTGCAAGGATCACAGTAACTTTTACTCTTAAAATATAATTGAAAAGGTAAATTATTATCTAAAAATAAGTGTCAAAAAAGACAAAAAATTCATTTATTTTCATAAATTTTAATTAAATTACTTTTAAAAATTCAATTATATTCAGAAATTTAAAAAAAATTTATTACAACAATTTAATTTTAAAAAATTTTAATAAAACTCTTTACAGAATTAAAATATTTTCAGTACAATTTTAATTAAATTTCTTAGAAGAATTCAATTAATTTCAAAAATTTAAATAAAGTTCTTTGCAGAAATTCAATTATTTTCAATAAAACTTCTCTAAAAAATTAAATTATATTCATAAATAATAAAAATATGCTTAAAATTTTAATCATTTTCAAAAATTTTGATAAAATCCTTTGCAAGAATTGAATTCATTTAATAAATAACAAAATTTTTCACAGGAATTTAATTATTTTCAATACAATTATTGTAATAAAAATTTTCAACAAGATTTAATTATTTTTTAAAATTTTAATGAAATTCTTCTCCAAAATTCAATTATTTTCAAAAATTTAATGAAATTCTTATCAATAATTCAATTATTTTATAAAATAACAAAATTCTTGTCAGAAATTCAATTCTATTAAAAAATTTTAATAAAATACTTGACAAGAATTCAATTATTTTTATAAATAATAAAAATCTTTGCAAAAATTCAATTATTTACAAAAAAATTGTATAATATTCTTCGAAAAGAATTCAATTTTACAAAAATTTTGATAAAATTCTTGGCAACAATTTAATTATTTTCAAAAATATCAAAATTCTTTGCAAAAATTCAATTATTTTCCAAATTTGAATGAAACTTTTCTTAAGAATTAAAATATTTTCAATACAATTTTAATGAAATTCTTCAAAAGAATTCAATTATTTTCAAAAGTTTTGATGAAATTCTTAGCAAGAATTAAATTTTTTCACAAATAATAAAAATGTGCTCAGAAATTTAATAATTCTCAATAAATTTAAATAAAATTATTGCCAAGAATTTAATTACTTTCAAAATTTTTATATGAAATTTTTGTAAAAAATTCAATTTTTTTCCATAAATAACAAAATTCTTTGCAGGAATTCAAATATTTTCAGAAATTTTAATCAAATTCTTCGCAACAAGATTCCATTATTTTTATGAATATAAATAAAATTCTTCTTAAGAGTCAATTATTTTCAAAATTTTTTTTTGAATATTGAAAATATTAAGAAAAGTTTATAAAATAGGTGAAATAGGTAAAAATTAACAGAACAAGTGAATAAAGTACAAAAATGAAAAAAGGGTGAAAAGTTGAGTCTGTGATCCTTGTATTATTAAAAAGAAATATAAAAGGAAAGTAAGTTAGTTACCACTTATGTTTATAAAAAAAATGAACAATCGAATATGAGTAATAAAAAATTCTTTTCAATCATCTTTACTTTCGAGAAATAATTTTCCTTTATCAATTAATATTCGATAATTGAAAAATTGAAATATTTGGTTTTTATTATTTAAAATCTAGTATTTAAATCCACTACTTAAAAATTTAGTTTTTTACTCATATGTGATTATTATAGTAAATAAGGTATTATTATAATAATAAATAATTATTATTATAATTATTATTACAAATAATTATTATTTAAATGATTGTAATTACTACAATAATAATTATTATAATGATTATTACGAATAATGATAATTAATCGAATTAGATATAAAAAGTGAATAGCGTGAATTCATGAAATATTCATTGAGATTATAATATGGAATATTTTTTATAATAATAAAATGTATATTATTTGTAAAATGCGCACATTATATAGTTACGCTTCTTTTTCTTATTTCGATAATACGAGTTCGCATATCAATTCGTATAATTAAGTTTTTTGCATTATGTGCTTTTAAAATAGAAAATATTTGAATTTTTAAACGTAAATATTTTCAACTATACGTCTCAATGATGTCTCCATTTTATAATTATTTCAATACTCAGAAATATATATATATCTATGTAACTATTTTTATTTTTAAAAAAATTCTAATTTCTTGAGGAAATTTGAAATGGAATTTTTTTTGTGTCCTTGGAAAAATAGTCCAATAATGGAAGTTGACAATAATAATATATATGAAAATCTATAATAGCTTCAATTAAACTGTAATTTCGCCACCAAAAACAATTTTAAATCATTGCGAAATCTGCAATTTTAATTTAAATTCAAAATAAAAATTCAAAATTTTTTTAATTGGAAGTTTTCGAATTTTTATCGCAGTTTTTAAATGAAGGAAATGTTAAGGGAAAATATTTGAGAAGATAAAATAATTACGTTCTTATTTTTAATTAACGAAAAGAAATAAAGTAATTATTTTTAGAAGTCTAGAATTTTTGATTCAATTAAAAATTTTGATTTTTGGGTAAATAATTACTTTTTAAACAAAAAGAAAAATAAATAAATATATTTTGGAGTTCGTAGAATTTTTGATTTATGATAAAAATTTTGATTTCAGAATAAATAATTATTTTTTATTATTAGATAATAAAATATAGAAATAAAAATATTTTCTAAATTGCAGTGCGATTTTTCTCGCGAATAATTATTAGACAACTCTCCGACGTAGTGTAATTCCATGATCATGGTCACTATTCCATAAAAAGAAAACAAAGTGATTCACGTTTAAAAGCAAATCACTAGTTTCAATGGACGCACGTGTTTCGTAATTACAATTTAACATTGTAGAATTGCAAACAAATTCTTCAAGATTAGCAAATTTTTTAAAAATAAAAATTATACTTGAGTATTAATTACTATTGCGCTAATTTGTATCTTATCCTGATTAAGTATTAATATCAATAGTTGTAAAATTAGTTATAGAAAAACACACTGCACTGATCCGAAAATATAAAAAAAAAATAAATAAATACCGAAAACTTGTTATTTTCGAGAAATTTTTATTAAAAGAAACATTTAATTAAATTTTGATAACTAAATGTTTGTTTAATAGAGATAAATTATTTTTATTAAAACTATATTCGTCTCTTTTAAAAAACGAAAAAGCTGCCTTTTTAATTTTTTAAAAAAAGTATTCAAAAAAAAAGTACAAAGAATAAAAAAAAATGATAAAAAATTAAATTATTAATTTCAGTGTGTCTTCTCGAAGAACAGCGGAGCCCTAAATAAATAATCAGTGACTCACATTGCTAAAACGAAAACAAATTTAATAAATATTTCATTTAATTTTAATAATTTAGAAATGAATTTGTTTTAATTTCATTCCAAAAGCAATGCAAATGCTCTGGTTATTTTTTTACTGGATGCTGATTTTTCCTAATATTGTAGATATCGTTTTTAAATATCGATTTTCAAGAATCTACTCGTACAATATAAAATGTAATTGTAATAATAAAAATAATTAACTATTCTAGAAAATAAAAAAAATAAAAATTACCATTTTTCGTTAATTCTTTAACACTTCTTTTGTTACTCTAAACAAGTATAGAAAATAAAATGTCAATCGTATGTTTTTATTTTCAATTAAAAATATTTTTTCTCAACTAGAATTATTCTAAATTATTATAGAAAATAGAATATTAATTGTAAATTTTAATTTTTATTCGAACAAAATTTTCTTTAGACTAGAATTACTTTTGAATTAATATAAATTTTATTGTAGAAAATAAAATGTTAATCGTTAAATTATTTTTGAATTACTCTAAATTATTATGAAAATAAAATATTAATCATAAATTAAAAACACTTTTTTCAGATTAAATATTTAAATTATTTTCCAAACGTTCAATGGGAGAAATTAGTGTTTCTTTTTTTTTTGGAAAATAGTCTAGAATTTACGATTTTAAAATTAAGATTTATTATAAAATCAAATAAAACATCATTACCACAGTATTTCGTGGGAAATGATGTATATACATAGTTGGTAAGTTCCGAAAAACCAGTAATCACTCCCATCGGCTCTTTCGTTTCCTTTTTCGTTCAGACTTTTCTGTTCCTAATGAACTTGAATCCTGATTGTCCGTTTGTTCCTCGGAACTATTTGCCGTAATTGGAGGTGGTGGAGGCATTATTATTGAAGGAGGAACAATTGTTTGTTCCCAAGTGTGGTCGGATGATGCTCTAAACTGTAATTAAATAAATTCATTAGTTTGTAAAATTTTTGAAAATTAAAAAAAGAAACAGAAAAAATAAAAAAATTGAAGAGTAATTACTTAATAATAATATAATTTATAATAAATTATGTTATAATCTGTTATAATTTAAATTATTCTAAATTTTGCAATATAATTGCAAATTCAGTGTAATTGTAAAATTTAACAACAAAAAAAAACAAAAACGAGGAAAATATCCAACCTGAGATGTGTATTGACTTCTGAATGCAGCTTTCATAGCTGAAAGTCGATCGCTTCCTGGTCCTTGTTTCTCTAATTTTTTGACGACTTCACTTATGTCCTTTTGTTGCTGAGTAGAAGGACCTCCACTCTAAAAATGAAAAATATTTATCTTTATTTTAACTGTCAATTTTTTTATTTCGATTTTCATTATTTACGACAAAATTACAAGTTTATAAATTAGAGTTTCCAGAAAATTAGAAAAATTAGAGAAACTTAGAAATGATAGTAAAATCAGTTCCAATTTAAAAAAATAACAAGTAATAAAAATCTTGGCAAAAATTCAATTATTGTCATAAATAATAAAATTCTTTGCAGAAATTCAATTATATTCAAAAATTTTAATAAAATCCTTGCCAAGAATTCAATTATTTTCATAATTGACCAAATATCTTAGCAGAAATTCAATTATATTCAAAAATTTTAATAAAACCCTTGACAAGAATTCAATTCTTTTTATAAATAATAAAATTCTTTGCAGAAATTCTATTATTTTTAATACAATATCAATAAAAATTCTTGACAAGAATTCACTTCTTTCATAAATAACAAAATAACAAAAAATTATTTTTATAAATTTAAATGAAATTCTTTTAAGGAATTCAATTATTTTCAAAATTTTTTTATGAAATCCTTGGCAAGATTTCAATTCTTTTTATAAATATCAAAATCTTTGCAAAAATTCAATTACATTGAAATATATTACAAGTTTTAATAAGATCCTTTGCAAGAATTCAATGATTTTGATAAATAACAGAATTTTTCGAGGAAATTAAATTATTTTCAATACAATTTTAATAAAAATTATCAACAATATTTAATTATTTTTAAGTTTTAATGAAATTCTTATAATAATTGAATTTCAGAAGTTTTTAAATAAAAATTTTTTAAAAAAAAATCAATTTCTGTGAAAAAAAAGTAATAATAAATAAATACTTAATTTAAAAAACTGTTTAAGTTTTCAATGCATTTATTTAAAATTCTGAAAAATGGGATTTTTGAAAAATTTTAAATCAATTTATGTATTGAAATTTTGTAAAATTTTACTAAAAATACTACTAAATACTAAAGATTCTCTTAATATTTTTGATTAAAAATTTATTTTTAAAAAATTGTCTTTACTATAATTAATTCTGTTAAATTATTAGGAATTATTATTGAATTATCCTCTTGAATTTTTCTTCATAAGGACATTTTATTGAATATGAAATTAAATTTATTTAAAAGGATCTAATTCTTGAAGAACTATCATAAAATCATTACTTATAAATTATTTAACGAATAATTTTACTTAAAAATTCCAAATCTAATTTAATTTCATAAGAGTTGCGTTTAAAATTTTTAAAAATAATTGAATTTCAAAAGATTTTAAATTGAAATTTTAAATAATTTTAATTGAAAATTCTGAAGAAGTTAGTTTTTAAAAAGTTTTTATTTGAATTAGTTTTTCGAAATTATATATTTAATGGGAAAATTTTCGAATAATCAAAATTCCATAAAATCGAATTGCCAACAAATGAATTCAGAATCTTTTTAAGTGAATTTCGCTTTTTTCTTCGAACAAATGAATTCTAAAAGAACATTCTCAAAAATTATTTAAAATACCCAATTGTTTTATAGAGAATTTTAGTAAAAATTTCTAAACAATAATTGAATTCAAATAATAAATTTAATTTCGACTAGTTATAGTAGCGATTCTTATTAATTATTGAATTTTGAAATTTTTGAAAATTTTAATTCTTGTGAATAGATAATAAATTGTGAAATGTAAATTATAGTTAAAAATTAAAAAATAAATATTGCTACATTACCTGTTCCTTTGGAATTTCTGCTTTTCCTCTGAAGCCAAGACCAGCTCCACCGACATTCAAACTTTTTCCTTTTCCTCCTTTAAATCTCGATTTCCTGAACCAAGAACTTTGCAGTGCCAAATCCATTAAACTTTTGGGAACTTCTTGATTCACTCCCTCAAGATTCCTCACCAAATGTCCTGCAAATTCCTTATCCTTTTCCGTTACCAAGGTATACGCCGTACCTTTTTCTCCAGCTCTTCCAGTTCTTCCTATCCTATGAGTGTGAGTATCAATATCACGAGCCACGTCATAATTTATCACCGTTCTGATATGCGGAATATCCAATCCACGAGCTGAATATCAAATAAAATTATTAATTTACACAAAAATGTATATAAAATAAATTCAAATTAATTCAAATTAAAAACAATTAAAATTAAATTTTGAATATAAGATTAGTAAGTGTAAAATAGTAATAATAATTATTAATTATAAATATAGAAAGAAAATTTAAGAAAATTCTTTAAAAAAAAATGGAAAAATGAGTCTCACCTGCAACGTCTGTCGCAACCAAAATACTAACTTCCTTCTTCTTAAAAGCAGTTATCACTTTATTTCTTTCAATTTGGTCCATGTCTCCATGAAGTAACATTACTTCGTATTCTTTTAATTTAAGATTATTCGCCAATTCTTCTGCATTCAGCTATAAAAGAAGCCGCGTGTGAAGAACCAAAATCTATAATAATCACTTAAAGCATGTATGAACAAAATAAAAATCATTTGATTTTAGAATATCTACCTTTTTGGTAACAAATATTAATAAACTACCAGAACTCAGATATTCAACAATATTGTGCAATAACCAATTCCATTTGCCAGTTGGATTATTATAAAACATGACAATATTTTGTGTCACATCTGTATTTGCTTCGCCAACATCGCCTTGAACTATTCTCACTGGATCCGTTAAAACATCACGCGCCAATTTTTCCACTTTCTTCTTAAATGTCGCACTAAACAATAATGTTTGCCTATCAGGCCTCACATGATTACAAATTGATCGAACTTGTGGTTCTGAAAATTAATAGAGATTCATAATTAATATAGAAGAATAGTTGGTCGTATTTAATAGAAAATAATTAGCAGAATTTAATAGAAAATGAAGAATATAAAAAAATAATACAAAAAAGAATACAAAAATGAATACAAAAAAGAATATAAAAATTAATAATACAAAAAAGAATATAAAAATTAATACAATCAGTTTCATGCTTAGAAGTAATAAAGAAGGAATATTTTTGAATGTTCTTTTTTTTGCGCAGGGTGTAATTCAGTTCTCACCAAATCCCATGTCAAACATTCTGTCAGCTTCGTCGAGAACTAAAAATGAAACTCTCTGCAAATTGGTCGCTTTTATTTTCACTAAATCAATCATTCTACCGGGAGTTGCGACGACAATTTCTGCACCGCCTTCGAGTGCTTTACTTTGTTCCCATTTGCTTCCACCGCCATAACAGCAACAAACTTGGATGTTATAGACTTTTCCGAATCTCTTCGCTTCTTGATAAATCTAAACAAATGAAATTATCAATGAAAAATATAAATCATAAATATTAACAGTAATTATAAATTATCAATTATTAATAACAGGCCTCGGATTGTCTTTAAGATGCAAAAAAAAGCGATAATTGAATTTCTTTGAAGAATTTTACTATTTAAGAAAATTTTCAAGAAAAAATGAATACCTGCTGAGATAATTCTCGAGTCGGTGCCAAAATTAAGCCAATAGGACCATCGCCCTCTTTCAATTCCCTTTGATCCATAATGTGCACCAACATTGGCCAAATGAAAGCGACTGTTTTACCACTTCCAGTTTTGGCAATTCCAATAATATCCCGACCACCAAGAGCAGCTGGAACTGCTTGCGCTTGAATTGGCGTCGGTTGTGTGTATTCATTTTTGCGAATTGCCTTAATCATCACTTCGTCAAAGCCAAAATGACCGAAACTCGTCACGGGGAATGGTGGTGAAGGACCGGAAACTTTAATTCCCAATGTTTTTCTCAATTCATCAACTTGTTGCTTACTCAATACGGCAATTTCGTCGTGAACATTATAAAAGTTTTTCTCAAATGGTTCATATTCAATTTCACTGTGATCAATCGGTGGTAAGGGATCAATTTCCTTCTTTTTAGGCGGCGCTATTGGATTTCCATCCTCGTCGTACTCAATTTCCTGATCGGAATCTTCTTGCTGTAGTCCAGCTGTGGGATTTTCTTCCATGTATCTATAATAACTTTCTTCGTTGTCTTCGCCATCGATGTCTTGTCGGAAACCTTTATTCTTCTCCTCCTTTTTCTCTTCCTCGGCAAGTTCAGCTTCGTATGTATTTCTCTTCACTTCGGCTTCAATGCCAACCATAAAAGCGTCCAATGGATCTTCCTCACTGTCACTCTCCTTCTTTTGTTCGGTTTTTTTCATTAATTCGTAGGTCGGTGAACCTGGTGCTGGAATATATTCTAGAGAAGAGGTCGGTGCTGCTGCTGCTGCTGCATCATCGTCGTCGTCGAAATATCTGTGAAAAACGAAAATTGTGAATGTAGTCTACAAAAAAGATAAAGAAATAACATGTTTGCCACAAAAATTTAACTTTCTTTTTTCCTGAATTTTCACTGATTTCCAAACAGAAGTTTGACTTTTTTCCTGACCCTAAAGAATATTTTGATTCACTCTAAAAATTATTAGATACTCAAAAAAATTTTCTATTACATTTATTTACAAATTTCTTCAAAAGTAAATAAAATTATTAAAAATTATTAGATACTCAAATTGAAATTCAGCAAATAATTTTAATATTTAGGAAAATAAACTATTTAAAATAGTTTATTTAATTTAATTTAAGAAAGAAATGCATTTTTGTATGATTTAAATTAAATATACAAAAGAATATAAATTATATTTACTCTTCTTCGGTTTTACTGCGTTTCTTTGGAACACCCCAACAAGCCGAGAGAGCATTTTCTGTTATTGAATTCATTGTATGATATCCTTGTTTACTTAAATTTGAATTAATACTTGGTGGTGGTATATTAGCTCCACTTCGTTTAGATCCCGACATTTGGAAGCCTGCAAAACCAAAACCCTTCGGCTTGTTACCACCTCCTCGGTGGTAACTCATCTTGAATCTAAAAAACAAAATAACTTCATTACTTATCAATTTTAACATAAAAAGTTATAAAATTCATAAAATTGCTTGTTTATTTACAAAGTTCACAAATCCCTTATTGCTTATTATCGATATCAAAAACAAATGTTGATATCAACAAACGAAACAAATCAACTTAAGTGAAATTATTCAACATCGAACAAATGTATCTCTTTTTCTAATTTAATTGATAACAATTTATGTTAATACAGCATAAATATTGTTAAATACGAAATACAGCTTTTTTTCCACTAATTAAAAGCGATGAAAGCAAAAGCCTAAAGTTTGGAAAACTTTTGAGGTTAAGATTGTAATAATGATTAAAAAATGAAATAATCGAAATATTTAAGTAAATAATTCATTTTAATTCAATTTTAGGTTATGAAGTAAATATTGTTTTTTAAGTTTACATAAATATTGCAATTTTATGCACCTGAATTTTGCAAAACAATGAGAAAAATACTGCGAACTGTCAGCAATACAAAAATCACTTGTTTACTTACACAATGATAGTTTACTTCTATTTTACATGTGTATTTTTATTATTTTTGTATATGTATATTTATGAATGAAATATACATGAAACAATGTTGCCAACCTTGAAAAAGAACCTAAAGGTGAATCCACATATTTGCAGTCCCACTTGCAGGAAGTGACATCTTTAGCGGGAATAAAATATTAATTTAAATTTCAAAGAAAAAAAAGTTAATAATTAACATCGTTAATATAAACAATAACAAAATATTTTTGTTTAAACAGAAATGGGGGTTTAAATAAACAATAATAATTTATTTTCGAATAAACTCTTATTATTTGCTACTGTAAATGTAAACTCCTATTACACTTTGGAAGTAAAATATTCTAAAATGCCAATAATTTATAAAATATTTACATTTAGATTATTTTCCATTTGCATTGCGAACGCAATTAAATTGGACGTTAAATATTACACTCGCTAACGAAATCGAAAGTTTCTCAATTGGTATGTATTTACAAAGAGGCGTTTAATTATTTACATTTTTAAAAAAAAAAGTGAAAACACGTGTTTAGTATTGCGCTTTGATAAAAGAAAAAATTGCATAATAAAAATTTAATCTAAAAAAATTCGTAAAAAAAAGAAAACTTAATATTAAATCTAAAATATTAGCAATGAACGTATTTAGCATAATAACATATTACATTATTTTGAGGAAAATTCAATACACGTTGAGCATAATTTGGATTTTCGTCTAATTTTTCATTTTAAATATATTTTTTTCAACAATTATTTTTCTGTTAATAGATAAAAAATTAGAACGTAGAAAAGTTATTAATTTATGAATTTGTTTATGGAACTATTGGTTGTTGCTTTTTTTCATTTTTGAAAATAAGAGGCCTTTGTCACGCCCCTTCAGTCTTTTTTCCTCTTTGTTGTTTAATTTATTAAATAAATACATCCCTGTTGACATTTTTCTATTTAAATAATTGTTTTTTTCATTTCTCTATCTCTATTATTTTAAGTTGCAATTCAATAGAAGAATTGATGTCCGTTAAATCTTAAGGAAAACAATTTTTAAAAAAAAAGACCGGTTCTTTGAAGAATTAAAAAAAATAATATTAAAACTGTTGAAATATTAAAAAAATACTGTATTATAAAAACGTTCAAATATCCCTTTTTTGTGTTATTAAAGTTAAATAAAATTTCTACAATTAAAAAAAAACTAAAATTCGTCCACGAAAGAAACCCTCTTCTTTGGAAAACTCAATTTTCAAATCCACGTGCATAACAAAAAACGAAGACGTTAGAAAAAAATTAACAAAAAAATTGGTAACATACTGAATTAATAAATAGGATAATTTCTTCTATTTGGGTCCCGGGAAATTTCTATTGTGTGTGTACTTTTTTCTTGACAATTTCCACTAGTTGACGATACCTTGCTTGACATTCTTCCTGTAATTTGAAAAAGAAAGATAAATTGAAGGAAAATTAAAATTAGGAAGGAAGTAAAGATGAATTTTAATTATGTAAATTTCTATATTTAATTTCTAATTTCTATTTCTAATTACCTTTGTTTTTCCTTGGATACAACTAGCTATTTTTTCCCACCTATCGGTGGAACCACCTTTTGGATATTTTATTAAAGCAGCCTCCAAGGCTTTTTGTTGATCCTGAGTCCATTCTGAAAGATTCTCCGGAGTTTCTACGCGAGTTTTTACTTTTTTTATTTGCTCCTCTGGCGGATTTTCCTCACCTGGCTGACCAGGTTTTAATCCCTCGTCTTTTACCTAAACAATTGCAGAAAATAATTATTATAGTAAACTATGAATTAGTACAGTAATAAATTATTAAATTTTCTACTACTCCACTGTTTTAATTATTATTGATACAATTATTTGATTATTAGTAATTTATATTTATTTTTTAGAAATTTATTATTATTACGCAAATAAAAACTTGTTTATTTTCAAATATTAATTTCAATTTTGGAATATTTTCAGATTCAAAAATTTAAAAAATTCCATTATTAACTAACAATAATCTACATTAAATAATTAATATTAATTAATAATAATTAATTATAATTATTGGTTTCAAAAACTTGAATAAAATTTGTCGCAGAAATTCAATTATTTGGGGTTTAATATATAAATTGAAATAAATAATTTAATCATTTATAATAAGCAAATAAATATTTTGAGTTAAAAACCTTTTTCGCCATATGCGTAACTTCGTGAACTGAACGATTCATCATTTCTGCAATTTTTTCCCATCGATCGGTAGTGCCGCCTGGATATTTTTTAACTAGTTTAATTAATTCCAATATATCGTCATCTGTCCATAATCCACCTGACATTCTTGGTTTCTCATCAGTGTGATTTGTGGTATTGTTTTTTTTATTCTCTTCCTTTTTGAAATTATCACTTCGCTCCTGTGGTGTAAAAACGGCTCTTCTTCTTCTAGGACCACGTGGCACTGGTTCAGGTTCCGGTTCTTCATTTTCTTGAGCTCTAAAAAATTATCATAAATAAATGTATCATTTTTTTTCGGAATCATTAGAAATTTAAAAAAAAAATCACTCACAATGCTTCCTCTTCTTCTTTTCGCCTACGTTTCATTTCTTCAAAAAGCATATAAATCCCACTAATTGTAGACGGAATACCAACAATTGATGCGTAAGTCCATTTTGGCAGTTGAAATGGAAGAGTATTCCACATGCTTGGTGTTGGAATTTTTTCTAAAATCTCCGCAAGATCGGGAACGTCCATTTTGCCCTTTCGATTCTTTTTTTGCATTTTTTGCAATTTACTGCCCAGTACTTGTTCCTTGAATTTTTAATTTGTTCAAATTAATTTAAACAAAACAATTTCTTTTGAAATCAATTTAAACAAGTTAATTTCTTTTCAAATCAATTTAAATAATAAGTTAATTTCTTCTTAAATTAATTTAATTAACAAGTAAATTTCTCTTTAAATTAAATCATAAAATGTCTAAATTTTTTTTGTTAATAAATAATTTTACTTACGTAGGTGTATCTTTTTTCAAAATATGCAGCCCATGCGACAAGATACTGGCCAATTGTTATGACGATGAACAAAATAATGGACATTTCGAGCAATCCCATTTTCCGCACATGGCGATAATAATAGACTGCGGATCGCCAATTTGGCAATCCATTAATGAGAACATCATCGTAACGTTCTCGTTTACCTGGATCTCTCAGCACATCATAAACTGAGACTAACTAAAAAAAAATAATCATTTCAATTAATTTAAAAACTTAATTACAACTTTTAAAAAATCTACAAACTATTGTAACCTCGAAATTTGAATACAAAAAAGAAAGTAGAATATTAAACAGATATTCAATGTAGGAAAAAAATTTTATAAGATAATAAAATACAAACAATAAAATGACGCAAGAAATCTATAATGACTGATAAAAATTGACAAATATTCAAGTAGGGGGAAAAAATCGAAAAGTTTGATCAATTTTTCATCTGATAAAACTTTTATTATTTGCTCCAATCCATAAAATTGAATATTAATGCTTTAATTGCTAAATACAGAATATAGAAAAATTGTATTTTAAATTTATTTATTATTACAATTAAAATATGAAAATATAATAATTACTTACATTTCTAAATTTTATTTCCGCATCTTCTGCAGAATTTTTATCTGGATGCAATTGTAGGGACAATCTTCTGAAAGCTTTTCTAATATCAGACGAATTCGCATTCTGCAATTAAGAAATGACAAAGTTATAAAAAAGAAATACTAACATATGTAAATGTGAACGATGTAAACAGAATATTCTCTATTTAAATCGAAAGAACAAAAGGAATTTACTCAATTTTTAAGACAATTTATTAGAATTAATGAAATGAAAATATTAACCTGTGGTATGCCCATAAGTTCATAAAAATTCTGATTGACTTCCTCGACAACGTCGAAGACCTCCAGGTCGTCGTTGTTCCATGCCGACGAAGTAGTCCATACGTTGAAAAATATTAGGACACCAAAAAATGTTAATAATATCCTCATCTTTAACACTCACGCACATTCATAACAATACGAATATTTCTTAAATTGATATTTATCTCTATTTAAAATAGAATAGAATTAATTACATGAATACATTTTTAATTTTAGATTAAATAAGAAATAGTTTTTTTCTTGACTGATGATAAACGTTTGGAGGTTAGAGAGCGTTTAAAGCATTGCCACGATTACCGTACAGATGTCAAGATGCCACATCGCCATTTTTTTGTTTACAAATCATTGACAGATGAAAATCAAAAATCACTTTTCATGTTGTTAAATTTTAGGATATATTACACATTGCACAGAAAGGGAAAGTATTAATTATTAAAATTTAAATGACGTCAAAGGGTAAATAAATAAAAATTGCAAATAAACTAGAGAATTTAAAATAAATCGCACATGCGCCTTTAGGGTTTTTCCACATGACGTCATAAAATGATGGACAGTGCTACCAATCACTTTGTCCCATGAACGCCTGCGCTTCGTTTTTGCATTTCATTGGCTGTTAAGCGCGCCCCATTTGAAACTAATACCAAAAGTGACACTGTTTTTAAGAAAGAAATATCCACTGACCAACGGGGAAAAAATTATATTCATATTTTTTAATCAAATAAAACACCATCTTTACGTTTTTCTATCCAAACATAAATGAAAAGTTGAAAATAAATGTTTATTATCAACCACTACGCTGTAACCAATCAGACACCTTCAGCCGCCATATTTGTAAAACAAACACCACCAACATTCAGGCACCATTTTTATCAATTAGTGCAAAGGGTGCAAAGAAAATTTTTTTTACAAAACTACAATCTCGTGAGAATTTCCCTATCTATAGACGTATGGAAGTCGTTGATTATTAAAACTATTCCACGACAGTGAAAAATTAACGTATTTATTGTGTGAGTGCGACATTTTACATTGATCAGAGATCAGGGCACATCAAAGAGGGCCTGGCCTGGCCCTCCAGATACCAAACAAAACATGGACGCCGTTGAAATAAATACGTCGGAGTCACCGCAAAATGAAGAGGGAATTGTATCAGCAATGGAAATATGTAGAGTTTGCCTCCTTGGAAATTTATTAATGCGAGACCTATTTCATGATAATGGGGTCGCATCATTGTCCGCTAAGGCCATGAGCTTTACCAACGTTAAGGTTAGACATTATAATATCTTGGCGATGTTACAATCTTTATTACAAGTTGATGAATTACATTCAATTAAGCGCATTAACCTAATTTAAATCTTCTATTTATTGTCTTTAGAATTTATTTAAACATCATCCATTGTTTCTCAACTGTTTTCCTTAAAAGCAAATGTTCCACAAACTTTGCACTGTTTTCACCTTTCAAATTTTCCAGGGGCGTCTAATTCTTTTGGTTTTTATCAAATTTTTGTTTATAATCTGATATTTAAATTATCAGCTGACTAATGCAGAATTTTTTCTTTTGTTCTAATTTAATTTAGAGCTAATAGGTAATTTTATGTTTATGTGGTAATTTTATTTGGATTTATTTGAAAAAGATTTTTTTGTTTTGACAATAGTTTTCAGAATGAAAAAAGAGAGTAAAATTTTTAAATTAGTTTTTAGAATTCGAGGTAATGGGATATTTACATAGATATTAATTTTTTTTCATGTGGAATTAATGGAAAATATTTCTTTTGAAAATAGATGTTACCTGGTGATGGACTACCAGGACAAGTTTGTTGTGATTGTGCTGATAAATTAGAAGCTGCCTATGATTTTAAATTACAAGTAGAACAAGCTGACAGTGTGTTGAGAGAAAAATTTGACACTTTGAATATAAAAGAAGAGTTATTTTTTAATGACGTGGAAGTTCATTTAGAAGGAGAGAGAACGAGAGTAAGACGTGAAATTAATGATAATGGTGAATATGTTGAGGCGACAGAATCTTTGCACGACGATGGTAGAGACACTCTTTTAAAGGATCATCTTGCTCTTTTGCAAGTGGAAAAAATTGCAGAACAAGAGAGCATGTTACAGCACGGTGAATATATTTTTTAATTTCTTTATTATAAATTATTTTTTTACACTGTTTACTATTTGTTTACCACTTGTTTACTATACTTTATTATTTCTTTAGTATTTTTATTCAATTTTACTAAAATTTAATTTAAAATTGAGCACATTTCACAAATTAATTATGTACAATTAAAGATTTTTGTTCAGGTGTAGAGCACTTGCAAGAGCAACTTCAGGAAGAATTGCACGAGGGTGAATTGGAAGAAGAGGATTTGCAGGAGGAAGAGCAACTGCAGGAGCAACATTTGCAGGAACAGCATTTGCAAGAGGAACATTTACAGGAACAACATTTACAGGAACAACATTTACAGGAACATCATTTACAGGAACATCATCTGCAAGAACATCATCTACAAGAGCATCATTTACAAGAGCATCATCTACAGGAACAACAGATGCAAGAAGAACATCTTCAGGAAGAACATTTACAGGAGGAACATTTACAAGAGCAATTGCAAGACGATGATGATCTAGCCGATGATCTCGATAAACAACCAAACGATGAATTACTCCATTTACAACAAATTTCCCAATCAGTGCACAATTTTTCCGATCAACAACAACAGCAACAACAACAACAACAACAACATGGGATCAAGGACGAAAATCTCCAGGACGTTGAGTCTGAAAATATTCAAGAACAAAATTATCTCGATCAACAGGAATGCTCACAAATGAGTGATGACGATTTTAATAACGACGAACCTTTCGCTGACTCCCAAGAGTCCATGGAATATTCAACAATGGAGAAGGAAGGAGAAATGGAACAAGAACAGAATCAGGATCAAGATGCTTCCATTGAACAAATGGAACACGACTCGCCAGAAAGTGAAACACGTCGTATTAGACGTAAAGTGATACGTCAATCGACCGGATCGGAACACAATTCCGACGAGGAGAATTATTTCGAAAATTTGAATTTAAGTTCACGTTTGAAGAAGACACAGGACGGGCAATCAGAGAAGGTCTTCTTTATGTGTTATCTTTGTGATAAAGAATTTTTATCGAAGGGAATTTTAAAGGAACATATGCACTCACACGAGGAGGTGAGACGAACTCTCTCCTTGAAGAAAGTTGAAAATAAATTGCAAAAACCGGTCATTCAACAGAAGGTTTCTCCACAGAAAGTTCCGGTCACGCCACAAAAATCAGCATTACCTTTAAAAACTCCTCCATCTGGTAAAAAGGCGAATAAATGCCCGTATTGTGGTAAAGAATATCTGTACATAATTTCCTTCAATAAGCACATAAAACAACACGAGAAGGATAAAGACGTAAAAAAGAGTGAATTTATGGCAGGCGATGATGATTCTGTCGATTACGTTGAGAATGTGAATTCCATCGGTGTTTTAGAGACAAGCATCGATGATAATGATTCCGAATCGGAAAATGAGAAAGAATCGGAAGTTTATCAATGCGAAAAGTGTCCTGAGAAATTTAGCAATAGACGCGCACTCCAGAAGCATGGAGTGAAACATATAAATTTGAAATGTTCGGTTTGTGATGTAGAATACGAATCGTTTGAGAAGTTGAACGAGCATCGAATTGAACACGTCACCGAGGGTGTATTAACCGAGGATGATTTACGCAAAGACGCCGAAGAATGGAATGCCCTCGACGACAAATCAGAAACAGATCAAAAGAACGAATTAAAATGTCCCCACTGTACATTGTTGTTCTCATACAAAAAATCCCTTTTAAAACACATCGAGACACATGCAAATAAATTCACCTGTAAAGTTTGTGGCAACGTTTTCATGAAACGGGAACACTTGTCAAAACATCTAGAAAGTCACGTGAGACCAAAATCATTCAAATGCACCGAGTGCACCAAAGTTTTCGGCAATGAACTCACTTTACGTAATCATCTAATAGCCACGAGTCACAAGACAATTCTCCAAGGGGAGGAATACGATCCAAACAAGAGATTGAAGCGGGTCGCAGCCAAAGCCGCACAGAAGATAATCGACAAAATTAAAATCGAAGACGAAAGCGACTTCGACGAGGAGGCCAAAAAGAAGGACGTCAATTATCAAGAAGAGTTAAAATCACCATCTAAAAGGACATACAGCAAAAAACTATTCGAATGCGAGACTTGCACCAAAAAATGCAGTTCCAAACAATCGCTAACAAAACACATGGAACTACACGTCAAGGATGAAAAAAGCGACAAGATCAAACTGGAGAAAAAGGACCCAGAGAAATTCCTCGACGACACCGACGACACCGACGATCGTGACGACGATTTCGAAAGCGGTCTCGACTGGCCCATGGACAATCACGAGTGTCCCACCTGCAAGAAGCGATACAGCACCAAAAAATCCCTCCTCAGGCATCAACTGCTCCACGAGGAGCCAAATTTCGAATGTGACATTTGCAACGTGAAATTCTACCGCAAAGACAAACTCAAAGCCCATTACGACAAGTGCTCCGAGAAGAATCCCGATCAAGTCCGAAAGTGCAACATTTGCGGCGACAGTTTCGAGAATAACGAAATACTCCGCGAGCATCGCGCCAAACACGTGACCGAGGGAATCCTCACCGAAGAGGACCTCCGTGAAATCGAGCCAAGGCCCGAGGAGAGAAAATCCGGCGAGAAAATCCCCCGAAAACGACGCACCGATATCGTCGGTCTCGAATGCACCGAATGCAATAAACAATACACCTCCCGCAAGGGTCTCCTCCGACACATTCAAGTCCACGAGGGCAAAAAATACCTCTGCGACATTTGTCCAAAGAAATTCTACCGTCGCGAACACCTCAAGATCCACGTCGCCAAACACAACATGATCAAACCCTACAAGTGCACTCGCTGCACGAAACGCTTCATCAAAGAGGAACAACTCACCAATCATCTGTCAAAACACGATCGTAATTTCAAAAAAAACAAAGAGACAGACAGTTCCAAGCGTTTCCTCTGCGAAATTTGCTCCAAGAGTTTCACCCAGTCGACAACTTTAATCGCCCATTTGCGCGCTCACAACGGCATCAAACCATACGTGTGCGAGGTGTGCTCCCGCCCCTTCACCACAAACGCCTATCTCAAAATGCACATGCGAACACACACCCAGGAACGTCCTTACATCTGTCAATTCTGCTCGCGAGCCTTCGCACGCGCCGACACTCTCGCCAATCATCTCACATCCCACACTGGCGAGGCCAAGTACCACTGTAAATTCTGTCCGAAAAATTTCCGCCGTCTAAAATCACTCAAGGAACACGTCTTCATTCACACCGGTCAAAGACCCTACGCGTGTCCCACTTGCGATCGACGCTTCAACAACAATGGCAGTCGTTACGCTCACAGTAAACGTTGCAAGCAAAATATGCTCCAAAATCAAAATCGTGCGCAACTTGTTTCGCAAGTGCCACAGCAGCAGATACAGATACAGCAACACCAGCAGCAGCAACAACAGCAGCATCATCATCAACAGCAACAGCAACATCAGAAATTACACCAGACTATTGTTCAGAGTCCATTGATCAAGTCGCAGAATATAAAGACAATCACCATTGCCAGACAAGCGGAACCGATGACAGCTCAACATGTCATGCAGCATCAGGAAATTCTCATGCCACTTATTTTGCCATTGACAGTGACACTTGCCGATGTTGGGGAGGAAGTCATTCTGCCCGAGGGTACGAAAATATTCACCACCTCTTAGTTGAAGAGCTCGCAATTTTAAGAGGGAATTCTAACAAATATGATTCTTCAAAAAAGACTCTTGAAAAAGGTTTCTTCGAAAAAGATTCTTCAAAAAAGATTCTTCGAAAAAGTTTCTTCGAAAAAGTTTCTTCAAAAAAGATTCTTCGAAAAAGATTCTTCAAAAAAAAGTTTCTTCAAAAAATCACCACTGTTTTCTATGAAAACAATCAAGTTTTCTCGTGGGGATTTTTTTCTCTCCATTTGACGAGACGTGATGAAAATTGAAAAAAGAAGAGGATAACCGAGTCTTCGAAAAAACTTGGAACGACGACGACGACGACAACGGTTAATTATCGTGGACTGATTATGAAAATAAAAGAACTATACAAGCGTGAGATATTTTTTCATTATCTATTTTTCTCTGTGTCGAATTTTAAGAAAGAATCAGACTTTTAAGAAATAAATTTTGCAAATTAAAGTTAATTTTTCGCTCGATTGTTCGATTCTTACTTCTGATGGAGAGAATACAAGGATTTAAATGAAATTGACAATTGAGTTCAGTAGAATTTTCTTGTGGCAAACGAATTTTTTTTTTTTATGACTTTATGCTGAAAATTTTTTCCAGAAAAGCGAAATAATCGAAAATTGAAATAGAATTTAAAAAAATGACAAATAGAAAGAATATTTTGACATTTTATTTTTAACTCTGTGCTGAAAATTTGTTCCAGAAAAGCGAAATAATCGAAAATGGAAATAGAATTTAAAAAATGATAAATAGAAAATATTTTTCCCCTAAGAAATATAATTGGCAATTTCATAAACGAATCAATTTCAATGATTCTTGTGACGAATGACAATTTATTTTAACTTGACTGTGCTGAAAATTTTTTCAACAAAATCGAAGTAAAAATTCAAAAAAATGGAAAAACATATTTTTCTGGAGGAAAAATTTTTAATTGTTAATTTCTTAAAAGAATTATATTTCTTTTATTAAAATCAGATTTTTTGTTCAATTTTTAGTTACAGAAAAATATTTTCTTGTGTCTAATGAAAATTTTCTTTTATATCGACTCTGCGCTGAAAATTTTTATCACAAATTCGAAATAAAATAAAAAAAAAAATGTTAAATAGAAAGAAAAAACTTTTCCTGAAGGAAAATTTTAATATTGTCAATTTCATACATAATTATTATAACAGCAATTTGTGAATAGTTGAAGTATGAAAAAAATTAATAGTTAAAAATTTTGCAGTTAATTTATTAGAATTTAAATTTATTTTCTTCAAATCACAAAAATATTTATTCGTTTTTATTTTATATTGTAAATTACAAAGAAACAAACTGCCAAATTTAAATTATTAATTTCTTTCTATTTCCAATCTTTGTCTTGAGGAAAACAAAAATTTCGCATACAAAAAGATTTTCCTCTGATTCAGAAAAGAATTTTCTTCCTCTGTTTCAGAATTCGCTTATTTTCTTAGTAAAATTCGAATTAAAAATTAATTTTCAAATCAAAAATTAATTTTTTACATTTAAAAAATGAATTAAAATAAAATTCTTTGTCAATAATTAATGTACGATACCTTACATCGAATTTTATTTTTTCAAGTAGAAAGCGACAAAAAATTACAGTTTATAAATTCTGTAATATTTAAAAAAAAAAAAGAAAAATCAGGGCTGGGAATTATTCACAATATTGTATTTTTCAAATTCATTCAAAAATTATCAAAAATTGCTGATTAAATAATTTAAATCTGAAATTTATCGACAATTGTTCATTAATGTCGAGAGAATAGATTTAAAAGAAAAAGAAAAAGAAAAAAAATTTTTTATAGAAACAGTAGTAGAAAATATTTTTTTAAAAAAACGTATTTCTAGTTTGGAATTTAGAAAATAATTGGAAGAGATATTTTTTTTAACTTTAGTTTATATTGAAAGGAAGAGTAAATTTTCTTTTTTTGAGTAGCAAAATTGAAAATTTTTTTGATTTATTTTATTCAAATAATAATATACTTAAATATTTACTGTATTTGTAGTTGATTTTATTTTTTTGTAAAACAGTTTTTTTTCTTCAAATTTTCACACAAAAAAAACTGTTTTTCATTTTCTGTAGAATAATAAAAGAAAATATATTAATTTAAAAATGTCTGCAAAATATTATATAAACGTCATATTTTCAGTGTTATGTTATAAATTTATAGAAATTTTTTTTTTAATTAGAGTAGAAATATTTCATTAATATTAAAAAAAAATTAGATGAATGTTATTTTATTTTTTTTATAATGCAATAAATGCTACAATTTTATTTACAGGAGAATTTAACAATTTAATATTATAAGTAAATTTACTTATATTTATATATAATGTAGAGAATGTGGAATATAAATTTTTATAATAATTAAGTATTTCACCCAGCCCTGTGGAATGACATTGTGGTATGAAATTTGCATGTTATGTATAATTGTAATTACATACCAACGTGCTTAAAAAGTAAGCCAACAATAATTATAGTAATTAGCTGTGGATTATAATTTACATTTTATTTGTACATAACCGTTATAGTGTGAATAAAGAACACAGTCTTCAAATAATTTTCCTTTCTATTAATTTATTGATAGTAATAATTTTTCTTTATTCAAAAAATAATTTTTAGTAAAATTATTCCTTTACTTCACAATTTTTAATTTGAATTTTCCGCGCGAAAAGTGAAAAAGAAATTAAAGTAAAGTTTCTGTAGAAATTTCCGGAAGTTTCCCTTTTTTTCCAAATGCGCCTGCGCAGTGACGTTTCTCACGTATTTTTTTATTTTCTCTTTTCGATAAAAAAGAAAAATAAACAGATTTTTTTATTTATTGTTGGAAAATATTCATACGACAATAACATAAAAACAAGTGTTCAAAATAATCGTGATTGTTTCCAGATGTAAAAATTAACAACTATTTATCCTTGCGAGTTGCGATACGTTATTGGAAATAATTTCTCGGGTAATATTTCAATAGATTTTTCTGAAATATTTCTGAGTACGTTGTATCGCATAATGGCTGCTGCTATAGAATAATAATTAAAAAAAAGTCAATAAAAACTCGTGCCTTTTGTTTGAAAATAGTGTATTGAAATTTTCATTATTGTTTAAGTGCACGTGATTCAAAAAACAAGAAGTATTCATTTCTCTTTTACAACTTCCGTTATTCTTTGGAACGAATGAGGAAAAATAAGTCAAGCCTCTCAATAACGATATCTTCCATAACAAAAACCTGTCTACGTGTGTATATTTTAAAATCTTAAGATTTTATCTGATCTTTTTTTCTCCTTATGCTGAAAATGTCAATTATTTGATATTTTGCTTTTTAAAAATGGATGTATTTTGAGTTTTAAAAAAAATGGTGGAAAGTTAGTAGACGTGGTGTGATGATAAAATTATGCGATTGTTGAAAGTAGTGCTTATTTGTTAAGAAAGTTTTTATCTTTTATGCGTGTCCAACACGTTATATATACAAATATATAAATAAATATACCTGCTCATTAGAAATTCTATTTCTGAAGATACAAACATTTGAACATGACTATTACGCTAACCAAGCATAGTTCTTCAATTTTGGAAGAAGATTTAGCTATTAGTTCATCGACATTAGGTGAGTTTTTCAAAATAAGTTTTAAGTATTGTGTAATAATAAATAGATTTTTATAAAAGTAAACAAAACATAACCTAACTTTTAATGATGTTCTAAAACAGAGTTGCCACATAGGTCAGGGAAATAGGGGAAAAGTCAGGGAAAGTAGAATTGATCAGGGGAAAGTCAGCGATTTTTATTAAAATTACTGGAAAAAATTAAATGTTTTGAATTTATAAGAAAAATCTGAATTTTGGTTTCTTTTTGTTTGCCTTAAAAACTAACAAATTACCAAGAAATCTAAAAAAAACCTTCAATTTTTTCTATTTCTGCGACAATAATTTACTTTAAATATAACTTAATTCTATTGAAGAACTGCCATAAAGTTATTACTTATAAATCATTTAAAAATTAATTTCAGTTAAATTTTTAGATAATAATTGAATTTTTGAGAAGTTACTAATAATTCCAATTTTTCGAAATAATTGAATTTTGCAATAAGTTTCAAATTAATATCTCTGAAAATTTAAATTTTTAATTCAATTTTCGTAAAACTGAATTGTAAAAACAAATGAATTTCGAAAATTCTCAAAAGAATTTCATAAAAAATTATTTAAAATAATTAATAATTGAATTCTTTCGAAGAATTTACTTAAAATTGTATTAAAAATAATTGAAATCCTGTAAAGAATTTTATTATTTAGTAGAATAATTGAATTCTTGCAACGAATTTTTATTACATTTTTATTAAATAATTGAAATACTGTGAAGAATTTTATTATTTATGAAAATAATTGAATTCTTCCAATGAATTTTATTAATTATTTTAAAATAATTGAAATCCTGTAAAGAATTTTGTTATTTATGAAAATAATTAAATTCTTGTAACCAATTTTATTACATTTTTTTTTAAATAATTGAATTCTTTTGAGAAATTTTATTAAAATAGTAGATTTTAAAAATATTTGAATTTCAGCGAAGAATTTCATTATTTGTGAAATGTAATTGAATTTTTGTAAAAAATTTCTGAAAATAATTACATTTCTCGAAGAATTTACTTAAAATTGTATCAAAAATAATTGAAATCCTGTGAAGAATTTTATTATTTATTAGAATAATTGAATTCTTGCAACGAATTTTTATTACATTTTTTTTAAATAATTGAAATACTTTGAAGAATTTTATTATTTATGAAAATAATTGAATTTCTCTTAAAACATTTTTCTATTTATGAAAATAATGAAATATTGCTAAGAATTTTATTCAAATTTATGAAAATATAATTGAATATTCTTGCCAAGGAATTTATTACAATTTTTGAATATAATTGAATTTCGGCCAAGAATTTTGTTATTTATCAAAATATGTAATTGAATTCTTGCAACGAATTTTATTACATTTACTTTAAATAATTTAATTCATGTGAAAAATTATATTACTTGTAAAAATAATTGAATTCTTGCGAAGGAAAAATCAGGAAATCAGGAAAAATGAAGGGAAAAAATTAAATTTTTAATGGCAATCCTGTAAAAAGTCTATAACATAAGTTTAGTTATTTTTAATTATATTGACTATTTTATTAAAATATTTTTTTTTGAACACTATTTTAGGTACATCGGACAAGAGTTTAAGTGATGAACCACAACAAACTTGCAACAATACCGTATTGGGAGAGAGATTAGTTTACGTTAATGAAGATGCCATGGATTGTTGTTACGATGAATCGAACAGTACATCGGCGAAATTGGAGGTGATACAAGAGGTATCAAGTCCTGAAATGTTTAATAGCGACAGTGACGATGATCTAGAAAATTCAAAGACTTCAGCAAGTTTTAGAGGTGGAGCGGGAAGAAATAAATTTTCCCTACCAAAAACATCGCCAAAACCGAAAACACAGCAGGAACTTGTTGTACAATCTGATAATAATCTATTGAGTAGAATAAATCGTTATCTCAGCGGTGTACCACCACCACCGAAGCATACAATCTGTCAAAGTGATTGTAGCGAATTTCTTGTAAATATACGAAAAAATGCTCATCTCTTTTGGTCAAATCCATTGGAAACGGAAACAAATTCTTCAACTAATAAATCGACAGCAACTTCTCCTCCTCCTTCTCAAACTTCCGCTCTTCCTTCCGATGTAAAGGAGGAAAATTTAACTAGTACAAGTATTTTTCAAAATCGTGTGAAAAATAGTTCGAGAAATTTAAGTGTAGCTTTTGACGCCTGTGATTTATCGAGAGATTCAGAAACAAAAAGCGTCGTTTCACATAATAATTCTGCTGTTGATGAACAATCAATTGACACTTCTTGCACTGAATCAGTAGATACTGCTTCCATTTTTACTGATAAAACGTCAAGTGTCTCAACAGCGACAAGTACATCGCACGTTATACCGAATGAGAATTCCTGTACGACATTGAAAACATCGGATCAGACTATTTTTAACACTTGTAGTGTTAATGTTGCTGCTTCCTTGACATGGCCGGAAGCTTATCAGCACAAATGTTTTGGAATTCAGTAAGTTAATGAATATTTTAATTAATTAATATTAATATTTCAATCTTTTAATATTAATATCTTAATATCTTTTTTTTTAATAAATAGTTTCAATCTTTATAACCAATATTTTGTTTTTTGCTTCAGTTACAACAGGAATAAACCAATTGAGGAATTTGAAAAATTATCAATGAAAATGTCCGAGAGATACGTGGGTGCGGAAACACAATCCACTTGCAATGTATTTTTCACTAAACAATGTCCAGGAAGTGCGAGAAAACGTAGTCTTCTGTCGAAACGTAACAGTGGTCAGAGTCCCGGTAAACGATTAAGTTATTTGACCAAGAGACGACGAACATTTTCGAGCGCCAATCTTCAGGGTCTCGGCGAAAAGAAACAATTGGTGCTCAACATTCGGTAAATATACAAATAATACATTTTTTTACAAGATACTTATTTTTTTAGATTTGTGCCACTAAAATTACTTTTTTCCTTTTTATCGAGAATTTAAACTAATTTAAATCCGATAATAGTTGAAATAAAAAAATTATTCTTAAAAATTTTAATAAAATTCCTCTTAGAAACATTAATGTAATTCTTTGCAACAATTCATTTACTTAATTTGAAAAATTTTACAGAAGTTTTTTCTCAAGAATTCTTATAATTGAATTTTATTTAAACAGAAAACCGATTCTGAAGAAAGGAAAAAGTCCCCGAAGTAAAGGAAAGAGTCCCAGGGGTAAAAGTCCGAGGGGCAAGAGTCCGAGGAGTTCGGCGAAGAAAAGAGCAATGCGCAGATTATCGATGGATGGACCAACGCCGAGAAAATCAAAATTGGAAACTTCGAAACGTGCTCTTTTCCAGAGTCCGCCAAACGATAAGGCTGGTCCAAGTATGAGTGGTTTGAATCCCCAGCGTATTAAAAAGGCCCTCTTCCCAACGCCAACGAAAAAAGACGATGAGTCCGATACAATGAAAGCCGCCGTCGTCAATTTGGGTGATGCAAGAAAACGAAAAAGTGACGAAGAATTGGAGAATCCACGTTTCAAGTGGGCGAAAAGTTTGTCTTTTGACTGCACTAGAGACCTGGATTCTCGGTCTGCAAACACCTGGAATCAACAGCGACACTCAACTGGTAATATTATCTCGAAAAATGAAAACTTACAAAGTTACGGAAAATGTGAGCTCAGCACTATACATCGGAAGGTAAGAGAAATATTAATTTATGCAGAATTTTAGAGATGTGCAAAAAGCTCGAAAAGTCGAGCCGAGCCGAGCCGAAATTTTTTCGGGCCGAGCCGAGCCGAGCCCGAGCCGGCTCGATGTATCGAGTACTCGAAATTTTCGAGTACTCGAGTGACTTCGAGTACTCGAAAAATTCGAGTACTCGGGTAAATTCGAGTACTCGATTAAATTCGAGCACTCGAGTGAATTCGAGTACTCGAATTTTTCGAGTACTCGAATGGATTCGAGCTTTTGACTTACTAAAAAAACTATTAATAAGTAAAAAATTCGAGCTTTTTACACAGCTCGGCTCGGCTCGAACTCGGCTCGAGCTCGAACTGATTAGGCTCGGCTCGGCTCGGCCCGAAAAATGAAAAGCTCGAAAAAGCTCGCTCGAGCCTCGAGCCTCGAGCTTTTTGCACAACTCTACAGAATTTAAAAAACCTAAGAAAGGAATATTTTTATATTTTACATTTTTCTTTTTCTTCTCTTTTGTTACGGAAATTATTTTAATTAATTTTTTTTAAAAAATTAAAAATTAATTATTTTATTATTTAACTAGCAAATTATATCATTTTTTGTACAAAAATGATATCTTTTAAATTTTTTTAATTCAGTTATCTTTATTATATTTATTATTGATAATATTCTTCGAAACAATTTAATTGTTTTTTTAATTTTAATAAAATTCTGCGCAAGAATTTAAATATTTCAAAAAATTGATATATAAAATTTTTGCAGGAATTATTTGAAAAAATTTTAATAACATTTTTCAAAAGAATTCAATTATTTTCAAAAAATTTAATAAAACTCTTCGCAAGAATTTAATTATTTTCATAAATATCAAAATTTTTTGCAGAATATAAATTATTTTCAAAAATTTTAATAAAATTCAATTATTTTCATAAATATCAACATTTTTCGCAGAAATTCATTTATTTCCAAAAATTTTAATAAAATTCTTCGCGAAAATTCAATTATTTTCATAAATATCAAAATTCTTCACAAGAATACAATTATTTTCCAAAAATTGAAATAAAATTCTTTGTAGGAATTTGTGGGAATTATTTTAAAAAATATAATTCTAATATTCAGAAGAATTTAATTATTTTTATATAAATATCAAAATTTTTCTTAAAAATTCAATTATTTTCAAAAATTTTAATAAAATTCTTCGCAAAAGTTCAATTATTTTCAAAAATTTTGATTTAATTCTTGTCAAAAATTCAATTATTTTCATAAATATCAAAATTCTTTGCAGAAATTCAATTATTTTCAAAATTTGCAATAAAATTGTTTGTAGAAATTATTTTAAAAAATTTAATGATATTTTTATAAATGAATTCAATTATTTTCATGAATATCAAACTTTTCCGCAGGAATTCAATTATTTTCAAAAATTTAATTATTTTCATAAACATTATTATTTTCATAAATTTCGATAAAACTGTTTATAAGAATTAAAATATTTTTAATACAATTTTAATTTAATTTTTTTAAAATTTTATTAAAATTTTTTGAAGAGATTTAATTATTTTTATAAATTTCAATAAAATTATTTGTAATAATTAAATTGTTTCAGACTGAAAATAATAAAACTAACAACAATTTTTTAATTAAAAATAGGTATTTTTTTAAATTATAAAAATGCAGAATATTAACTACTTATTTTATTATTATAATTATGATTGCTTCTAAAATGATTTAATTTTCAAAGAGTTCGATTAAAATTTGTATTAGTTAATTAAATTTGAATAGATGTAAATTTAAAATTTCTTTAATAATTAAAATTTCGAATTGTTTTATTTAAATTAAAATTTTTGAATAATTAGGTTGTTTAAATATTCCAATTCTATTTTTAAAGATAATTGAATGTTTATAAACGAGTAATTGCAAATTTTTGAAATAATTGAATTTTCCTAAAATTCTATTAAAAAATAATTGAAAGTTTTTAAAGAATTTTATTGAAAATTTGGGAAATAATTGAATACTTTTTAATAATTTGAAGACAAGAAAAATAATTAGTCACAGTAATTAGACTTTTAAAATAAAGTCTTTAAAGTTTCAAAAAAATGTTTGTTTCTAAAAATTATCTTTTTTTCTGTTATTGAAATCCTCTTGAATTTTTTTTTATAGTCATTTGAAAAAAAGTCAAAAAATCGAAACCCTGATTATAAAAATTATTTAATTTATAAAACAAAATTAATAAAATTTTTCTATTTTTCTTTTATTCCCTTTTCTTACAGAAATTATTATGGGCCGTCTCGGAAGCATTGCGAGGTAAAGGAATCAGTATGAGTCATCCACAATTCAAACAACATGCCGCAACACTAGCACGAACTGTGAAGAAATTAATGCCTGATTTGGAGAATAAAAATATACCCCGAAAGCCAGGAAGTACAAGTGATCGAATGTTAAAGTTAGCGAAGCAACAAGTGCTTAAAATTGATATAAAGCCAACTGCTCATTAATTTTTTTTCTTCTCCATAAAAAAAAGAAATCTTCTAGCAAAGACGTTTCAAAACTATTGTGAATAGTGTTTCGCTATAATAATGCTTTTCTTAAGTTATTTATATAAATATATAAAAAAAAAGAAAAAAAAATTGTGTCGTTTACGAACCCGGCGACAAAGATCTACTTTCAAAAAAAAACCATGATTGTTAAATTTTTTTTTTGTATTATTGGTGCTGCTTTCATGTTCTCTGCGAATGAAAGGGACAATACTTTTTAATAAGCCACGTTTTATTAGCGATAAAATAGTTTATTTTACAACTTAAACGTATAAATAATTAATAAAAAGTTGCTTTTTTTCGAAAAATTAATAAAAATTTATAAACAATATATATTTTCACATTATAATATTACAATCTGGTGTCATATTTCACGGGGTAAATACCATCGAGTAAAAAAATAATGGTCTAATTGTCTTGACACACTCTTATTATTAATATTTATTATTACTTTTTTTTATTTTTAAGTCTTTCTCGAATGTTTTTTTTTCTAATCTTGTGTTTCATTGCCAACCCTGGCTATGACTTCATCCAAAATTTTTGTTAATTCTTTATTCTCTTTAGTCTTTTGCTCCACTTGATCAGCAAGTGACTTGCACTTTAACTCCGTCTTTTTTAACATTGCCTGCAATTTCACGTTTTCTGAATCGTTCTGTTTTCGAATTGTCTCCAATTCGTGGTTCGCTCTGCAATTAAATTACGCTCATTAGAATTTTAGTTGAAAAACAAAAGACATTGGGAAAATTAATTCAAAAATTATAAAACGAGATATATTTTTTTTTTAAATTGACTTTGAATTTTTATAAAAATAAATAAAAAATAAATTTGGAGGAAGAAATAAAAAAATATTTAAGTTTAGAAATACTTACTTTTCGAGTTGTGCCATTGCGTGACTCTTGAGTGTCTCGTATTTTTTCTCCAACATTGCAATAGTTTCTAAATTTTCTTTATGACTTTCTTTGAGAACCAATTCGTTACTTTTGTACGCGGCGACAACGTTTTTCACGCGCTCGTATTTTTGGTGAACATCGTTAAATGCAGCTTCCGTATTGCTGAGATGTTGAGTGGCCGTCTGCAATTCCTCTTTTAATCTTTCCTTCTCCTCTAATACTGTTCGATCTCTTTCCCTCTCGGCGACCAGCCTGCTTATCGATTTCTCATACTCGTCCAGCACGACTCTGCAAATTTTTATATTTTTTTTAATTCACACAATTGTTACATTAAATTAATTTAAATAAATTTTCAAGTTACAAATTTAATCAACATTTAAAGTTAATAAATTTAAACAATTATTAAATTGAATTTTTTGCTTGTTGATTACAATTATTTTATTATTTTCGAAAATATTTATTTATGCATTTATTTATTTGTGTATTTTTATTTAAATGATCAGAAAACAAATTGTTATTGATATTAATAAAATTCTTTAAATCAATTCAATTATTTTCATAAATAGTACATTTCTTCGCAAGGTATATAAATATAGGTATTTATATGTATAAATATTTTTACAAAACTCTTCGAAAGCATTCACTTATAAAGAATTTTAATAAAATTTGCGGCAACAATTCAATTACTTAAATAAAATTAAAATTAAATTCATCGAAACAATTCAATGACTTCAAAATATTTTAATAAAATTTCTTGGAAAAATTCAATTATTTTCAAAAATTTTAATAATATTCTTCGAAAAGAATTCAATTACAAAAAATTTTAATGAAATTCTTGGCAGAAATTCAATTATTTTCATAAATATCAAAATTCTTCGTAAAAATTCAATTATTTTCAAATTCTTTAATAATATTCTTCGAAAGAATCCAATTTTAAAAAATTTTCATGAAAATCTTGTCAACAATTCAATTATTTTCATAAATATCAAAATTCTTAGCAAAAATTCAATTATTTTCAAAAATTTTAATAAAACTTTTATTAAGAATTAAAATATTTTCAATACAATTTGAATGAAATTTCTCAAAAGAATTCAAATATTTTCAAAAATTTGAATAAAATTATCCGAAAGAATTCAATTATTTTTAAAAATTGGGATAAAATTCTTGAGATGAATAATTCTTCTCAAAATAATTGAATTATTCAATTATTTTCAGTACAATTTTAATTTAATTTCTTGAATGAATTTAAATTTTCTTTTTGTAACAATTGAATTTGTACTTTTTCAAATTTTATTATTTTCATAAATAATAAAGTGCTCCGCAGGAATTCAATTATTTTCAAGACAATTTCAATAAAATTTCTTGATAGAATTCAATTATTTTAAAAAATTTTAATAATATTTCTTGAATTAATTCAATTATATATTTTCAAAAATTTTGAGAAAATTCTATATAAGAATTCAATTAACTTCAATAGAATTCGATAAACTTCATTTGAATTTTAATTAAATTCCTATAAAGAATTTTTAATTTAATTTTCAAAAGTTTTTAATAAAATTCTTTGAAAGAATTCAATTCTTCTCAACAGTTTTAATAAAGTTCTATTCAAGAATTTTCAACGATTATTAATTAATTATCATAGATTTAAATGACGAAAAATCGTTATATTTGTAAATTATTCAAAAATTACTCACGTCACTTGTTTTTTACTTTCAAGTTCTTCAGCGATTTGGATTTCCAAATGTCTGTATTTGTCTTCCAATTTTTTGTATTCATCTTGTTGCTTCTTTAAATCTTTTTGATGCTTTCTTTTATCTTCTTCGCGTTCCTTTTCGTTTTTCTCAAGTTTCTCCTCATGTTGCACCAACAACGATCTCACAAGTTCCAATTCTTTTGCCATTTTCTCGTCGACGACTGGAACTTCTTGGGGAGCTGGTTCAGTGGCCTCCTGCTTCAAACAAATAAATTGTTTGTACCTTGCGCTAATAATTTACTTTCTTTTATCTTTTTTTTTTTATTAATTAATTTTTTTCCCAAAATTAATAAGTTTAAAAAATATATTAATTAATAGAAAAAATTGGTTAAATGTTGAATTAAAGTTCGTAATGTCAAATCTGACAATTTTCGTGCCAATTTAGAAAATCAGGTTTGTCATAAATTTTAGTTGAATGTTTCAATAATTAATATATTATTTTAATAATTTAATAATGTTTTTAACTATTAAATAAATATTTTAAATAACTAATATTATTATAATTTATTCAAAATGATAAACATTATCATTTATTCAATATTAAGTATATTTTTGAAATGTAATTAATATATTCAGAGAAATAAATGAATTTCGAAGAAAGCGGTGAAAATTGACAATATAATAGATTAAATTGACCTTGTCTTACCTTTATGTCCTTTGTGGCTTCCATTTTATTTCCGGTCGTTATTGGACTGTAGAAAAGAAGTCTATCGATTGCGGCGATAGCAGGATTACGCATTGGCGTGTCCGCACTCGTCACCGAAGGCATTTCGTTCTTTTCATTTTTTTCCTCGTTTTCAGTTTGAGTATTGCCTTGTGGTAACATACTGTTATTTACCAGCGGATCGAACTTGACATATAAAGATTCAAATCTCAAGTCTCGTGACTTTGTATTCGAGGACCCTTGATTTAGTAGAAAATCGAAACTCGTCGGATCTTGAAACACTGTAAACGTGAAAATTAATTAGAATGAGAAAATTAAACGTTCAAATAAATTCACTACTTTTTAAAATTTTAACATTCAAATATTATATTCAATTATTATTATTAAATTCATTATATGTATTATATATTCTATATTCTATTATTATTTATACTATTTGTATTATTTTCTTTTATTTTTATTACTTATATTATAATAATTGTACAGAAATTATTATTTTGCAAGTATTATTTAATTAAGGGTAGACTTACATTAAGGATCCAAAACATAGGACCAGCTATGGAATTTAATCAAAATATTTTGGGATCATTATTTTTTTTAAAGGCAAATATACGGCGAAATGAAAAAAACAACTTTGGAAATAACATGACATGCATGTAAACAGGATAATTAGTGATTTCCTAGGACGACTGTGTTTTATTACATGCTATTATCTTATGCAGAAAATTCTGCTCTTTGAGAAAAATTCTTTTTTTCAAAATTTATTCCAACGAAAGAAAAAATTTTTTTAAATAATTCATTTCTGCGTTACGAAATTAAAAATAACTGTAGTTTGGAAATTTTCTTTCCTTTCTGTACGAAAAATTTTTTATTAGAAAATTCTCATTTTAATTTGGAAGAAAATTCGAATTAAACAATAACAGGCTTCGCACTAAATAATTAATTTCAAAAAAGTAGGTAGCTTTCAGAGAGAAAAAAGTAGTAAACATGTAGCTGTCGAAAAATCAAATTTTACGATTTACAAAAATTCTTGGGATGATTTTTTATTTTTTAATAATTAATTTTTTCAAAGAATTTCAATGTTTACGAAAATAATTGAATTCGAACGAAAAATTTCTTAGAATCTTTGAAATTAAGTCAATTGTTGCAAAGAATTTGATTAAAATTTTTTCAATTACTGTTTCTAAGAGAAAATTTATTAAAATTTTTCAGAATAATTTTTTTATTCCAACTATTAGTGTATTTAAAGTAGTGGAAATTCTCAATAAAAAAGAAAAATAGGTTTTAGTAAATGAGTGCGAAACCTGCAAGAAATTGATAAAAAAAAATAAATAGAAATATAGAAATAAATAAATAAATATAAATAAAAAGAATTAAAAATACAAATTTATATTTTTAACAATTAATAAAAACAAAAAATAGATTTATTTTTTTTGTTAAATAAATAAACTTACGTTCACTGGTGGCACTTATAAAGTGATCCGTATCATCGACAATTTCCAGAGATTTATTATAAATATCTTGAGCAACAGCTTGTGCTTCCAATTCAACTTTCTCGAATAGTGAAAAATTCGCAATATTTGTAAGATCTGTACTTTGCTTTTGTGGTTTAAATGTTTCGTAATCCTCCTCTTGTTGAACGACAATTATTGGCTCCGGTGCTTCGAGATCAATTTCCGAACTTTCCAAAATAATCGTCGAATCAAGTTCCACTGGAACGAATGTTTCGTTAACTTTGGAAATTTCAATTTTCTTAATATCCTCCTGTATTTTCTTCACCGTCTCCTGTATTTTACTTCTCTTCGTCGGTCGTTTAGGCGTTTCAGTTTGCGCCAATTCAAATTGCGAATCCTTTTCAATTTGCGAACAATTCTCCTCTTTATTTTCAGTCAAATTCAGAGAATTTCTCAATCTTATACTGTCATCGAAACTTTGATCGTGTACTGGCGCTTTTCTCTTGGCGCTCTCCTGATGATTTCCATTGACAGTGACGACAGTTGATTCTAGAGTTGATTGCTTTAGGAAAACAATTTCCGACGATGAGTCGATATCAGATTTTTCCAGAGAATTTGAATTTTTTTGTAATTTACCCGTTGACAAGGCAACTGTGTTGTTGAGGAATTTTTGTGGAGATTCAAAATCAGGTGGAGATTCGATAATTGTTGAGAGATGGAAATTACGCTGATATTCTTGTGGGGTTTGTTCCAAATCGTTGGCAATTGTAGATTCTACCGTGTAACTGTCGTCTAGAGATTTTTGCTGTTCGGCAACCTTGTCTAAAATTGATTGTAGAATTGGAGAATTCTTCTTTTCGGAATCAATTTGTGTTTTATCTTCTTCATTCGATGAATGAATTTTTTCTGGCGTCACAGCGATTTTATCGACGAATTCCGGTAGTGGGGATTTTAATTCCTGACTTGTATCTTCGAGATTCTTGTCCGGGGTGATTGCGAATGTTGAATCAAAAGCATTTGGATTGGAATTATCGGTAATTATTTCTGGAGATTTCTCACTTTTTGTACTTTCCTCGAAATTGGGTTCAATTTCTTCGGGGGATTTTACAGAAATTTCCGATGAAATGACTGGAATTTCTTTGGGGGGTTCGATAATTGTTTCTTCGGGAAGTTTGACGGTTTCTTCAGAAATAAGTGGAATTTGTTCGGGAATTACGGAATTTTCGGGTGATTCTTCAGCAGTTTGGAAATTTTGTTCGAAAGTTATTGGAATTTCTTCGGCAACTCTCGGAGTTTCTTGAGAAATCGGGACTTGTTCGATAATTGCGGACGTTTCCGCTGTCAATTCTTCGGTATTTTTTTCAGAAGTATTTAGAAGAATTTCTTCGGTAACTCTGGGAGTTTCTTGAGAAATTGGAACTTCTTCGAGAATTTCGGAACCAGCTGGTGATTCTTCGACAATTTGTGTATTTTTTTCGAAAGTTGTTGGAATTTCTTCGGCAACTCTCGGAGTTTCTTGAGAAATCGGGACTTCTTCGGGAATTTCGGAACCAGCTGGTGATTCTTCGACGATTTGTATATTTTTTTCGAAAGTTGTTGGAATTTCTTCGGCAACTCTCGGAGCTTCTTGAGAAATCGGGACTTGTTCGATAATTGCGGACTTTTCAGCTGTCAATTCTTCGGCATTTTTTTCAGAAGTATTTAGAAGAATTTCTTCCGTAACTCTGGGAGTTTGAGAAATTGGAACTTCTTCGAGAATTGCGGATTTTTCCAAACTAACTGATAATTCTTCAGCAACTGGGATATTTTGTTCGGAAATAATTGGAATTTCTTCAGTAACTCTTGTAGTTTGTGGAATTGGTACTTCTTCGGGAGTAGCGAATATTTCTGAATTAACGTCTTCGGAATTAGTCGGAATTTCTTTTTGCGGCGATTTTAAACTTTCCACCGCATTCACAGGTTCTTCAGTTTCAACTTGAAATGATTTATTTTCCACCGACTTATCACTCGGATTTGTTAAATTCAAAACATTGGTAATATTTCCAGGCAATTGCGAAGTTTCCAAAAGATTTTTATTCTGAATTAAAGACACATTCTTCTGACTCTCTATCGACAAATTGAAACCGCATTCTGTAATTGAATTCACATGTTCAATACTTTCATTCTCTAAATCGCATTCGGTCCTTATTTTTTCATCGACAGCAATTTTTGGAACAAATTCTTCCAAAGTCTGTAAATCGAGCGCTGTGGAGAAAACCAGTGAATCTTTATTTATATTCTGTAGACCGTGTGTTTTTGCAATACTGTCATTGAATGAAACAAATGGAACATTTGAGGTAAATGTTTCTATTGGCGGTAGAAAATCTTCTGGCGGCAAATTTCCCTCCTCAATAATTGAAAGATCACCGCAAGCCGATGAAAATGTTTGATCTTGACTCAAATCACCAATTCCAGTGATTTTAATATCGGCGCAGGCCGAAATTAAATCATCTAAACCGGGAATATCGTTATTAATGTAAGATGTATTTGCACTTCTAACTGGACTCTCGGATAAATGATCAGCACAAATTCCACTGCTACTCTTTGAACTTAATGTACTTGATAAACTTTGAAAACTACCGGCCGATGAGAGGCTTTCTGTCGTTGGTGATGTTGTTTTCTTCACATCGGCAAATTCACGCGCAAATTGCACCTTCACCGCATGTTCTGGCGATTTTTGAAGCGCCGACTCGTTTCCACTCTGAAACAATAGAAATCGTACATTATGAATAAAATTAACAGCAATAATTAATAAATTATTTTCAACTTTTCACGTACAACATTTCGATTTGTGGGCGATTTCGAGGAAGCGCGATGCAAAAGTTTATTGATATAATCCATTGTTCGCGAAAAGAATTATTTTTTTTTTGTTTAAACAAAACCAATACCGTCGTTTCAAGTGTCTTTAAAACGAATGCAAAGAATCAGTTGGCGCGAATCAGGGATTTTGTCGAAATTGCGCAATCAACAGCGTCTAATTATAAAATATCGGGTTTTCACTTCGAAAACGTCAGTGTCGATTATTCGTCGATCACGAGAAGAAACAACCGTTCTTTTTTTATCACAAACTAAATAATTTTTAATTTTCAATCGAAATTAAACCAATTCAGTATTAAGTTGTTAATGTCAAGAAAAAAATTTTGATTAAAATGCAAAAAAAGAGTGTTTAGAGCAAAAATAATTGTCCTTGAATATTGTGATAGTTTCGACATTATTGCAAATGCTGTCAAAATCTGTGGGTGGAAATAGCGCACGATTCTAACTCGAATGAGCCACGTGACTTATTGAGAGAGAAAAAGAGAGACAGAGAAATAGTAATCAAACAGAATGGAAAATTAAATGACAAAATGTCAAAACAATTAGAAAACGAATAGAGAAACTATACCTTTTTTTGAATCAAGTTACCCATTCTTGTTTTTACCCTTCTTTCTTTTTATCACAAGAAACTAATATTACACTTTTACTTGTCACTGCTTCGTGGTCTATTCATAATTATCGTGTGTGAATATACACTCGACGACGATATACTCTATATAATGATTCGAAGGCCCAACTCCCCTTCCATGAGGCGATAATTTTTCTCTCAGTTTCGAAGAAAGAAGTACGAAAAAAGATCTTTGAAGATGCGTTGATCTTGTTTAGAGAGAGAGAGTTCAGTCTTCGTGTTGTCAAGCGTCGTCGTCGTCGTCGTCGTCGTCGTTGTACAAAGTACTGGAAAAATCTGCTCCAAAAATAGTATTTAAATATCCGTTACCAAAAAATATACCAAAAATAATGATAAAGACCAGACTTTTCTTTTTCTATTTTCGTGATATTTTTACGTAGACTTGGTGTTTTATTGGTGCACTTAAATGTTTATGTCAACGATAACCTTCATTTTTCTCCATTGTTATCTAAAATTACTTTTCCATTATGTTCACAAGTTTAAATAATTATCTTAATAACCATTTCGATTTAATCAAGAAAAAAATTATTTAATCTGCCAAAAAAATCAGTGACTAAGAGATTTATCGAAGAAAAAGTTATTTTGAGAATTAATCAGAAAATTAAGTTAACGATTGGAAATTCGATTTCAAAAAATTAAGAAAAAATTTTTAATTATTAAAAAGATATCAAAAAATTAAAACAAATTGAAACAAATGAAATATATGATTAAATAATTATTATAGGGGAATGTAGTCAAGGTTGGCCTACTGTCTAGGTAGGCCACTCGCGTTTTTTTGTCAAGTTCACTAGCGCCACCTACGCGCATTTTTGTCGAAGCTTGTCTTAGTGAAACCTAACTTTTTGTTCAATTACATTTTCGGAAAATCGAAAATTGTGTTTTCTGTGACGTCGGTACAAAAAAAGCTCAAAAAAAGTTTTGTGCATAATGTGAAAAACCATTAATAAAAGATAAAAAACAAATTGAATCGTCAAGGCAAGTATGCAGAAAATTTGTGGGACTCATGGTTGAAAGGAAAACAAAGTAAAAAATCGAATCCCGAAACGTATTTCTTTTTGTTTACAACAATTCGGTAATGTTACTTACTGTCAAGGTCGGCCACTATGTGTTTAAAATGCGCAAAGTTGAGGACGAGCTACTTCATTTGCAAAAACTGCAATTCTGTATAACTCATAATATAATTGATCATCTTATTAATATTTTTATTTAATTTTATTAATATTTTAGTGCAAAACTTTTTTTTATTTATATTTATTTTTTTATATTGTTTATTGTTATTATTTTGTTATTTCATTAAGTTACAAACTGTAAACAATAAAGAATCAATTTTCCGTAACTCCAAACATGTTATTTTATTTTTTAACGATTAATGCCCTTTGAATTTTAAACATGGCCGACCTTGACTGTAATGGCCAACCTGGACTACAAATTTTTTTTTTTTTAAATCTTTATAACTTTTTCATTTTTAAACCTGTCAATTTACTTTGTACAGAAAAAATGTTCCTATTAAACAGGACTTTCCAACCATATACTTCAATTGTCCAAATTCATTTTTAAAAAAAAGTTATAAACAAAAGTCAAAAAGGTGGCCGACCTAGACTATGTTCCCCTACTATTAAAAATATTAATATTAAATATTAATTATTGCACTAATAAAAAATTAATTAAATATTAAATATTAATTAAATAAAAAATTAATTTAATATTAAATATTAATTAAATAAAAAATTAATTTAATATTAAATATTAATTAAACAAGTAATTAAATTAGTTTTTAAAGTTTTATTTAGAAAGTTTGAAAATGAAAAGAAATGATAATTATCCTAATTATTAAAAATATATAAATAATAGAGTGAAAGTGCATTATACGGAGTAGAATTCAAAAATTATTCAAACCTTGCGCTTTTTTTTATAAACACTTCAATGTTTGCGAAGGCAGAAAGGAATGAGGAATGACTAGATAAGTAAATGTGGTTTGCAAAGTTTCTACTGCATTGTATAAAAATAAAGCCACCATTCTTATGATATTGATTATTTAAAATATATTTATGCACCTCGCTAGAATTTAGTTTTCATTTTCCAGTTTTATTCAAATACAAAACGTTTCTCTAATTTCAAAAAAATTCTCTTTCAAAATTATTAAAATTTGTAATAAAAATAATTAGAACTTTAGAAAAGGAAAAATAAATATTTCTTCTTCAAATAGAAAAAAAATTTTTCTTTTCCAAAATAGAAATGAAAATTTTCTTTTTCAAATAGAAATACAAAATTTTCTTTTTCAAATAGAAATACAAAATTTTCATTTTCAAATAGAGATAAAAATTTTCTTTTCCGAATAGAAATAAAAACTTTCTTTTTCCAATATAAATAAAAATTTTCTTCTTTAGATAAAAATACAAATTTTCCAATGATGAAAAGAAAAGAAAATAAATTTTTATTTCCAATTTTCTTCTACAATTAAAAATACAAATTTTCCATTTATTAAAAGAGAAAAAAAAAAATTTGGAAATTTGTAATAAAAATAAATAGAAATTCAGAAAAGGAAATAAAAAATGTTCGTCTTTGCGTTAAAATACAAATTTTCTATTTATGAAAAGAAAGGAATAAAAATTATAAAATTTATAATAAAAATAAATAAAAATTTAGAAAAGAAGAGAAATTTTCATTTTAAAATAGGAATAAAAATTTTCTTCTTTAGATAGACTTAAACAATTTTCTTTCCCAAATAGAAATAAAAATTTTCCATTTATTAAAAGAGAAATAGAAAAATTTGGAAATTTGTAATAAAAATAAATAGAAATTTAAACAAGGAAATAAAAAATTTTCGTCTTCAAATAGAAATAAAAAATTCACTTTTCCAAATAGAAATTAAAATTTTATTTATATGGAAAAAGGACAATAAAAATTATAAAATTCAAAAATAAAAATAAATAGAAATTTAGAAAAGAAAAATAAATAAATCATATAGAAATATAAATTTTACATGTATGAAAAAAAATCCTATTTAAAAAGTAGAAAGAACAGTAATTTTTCTAGAAAAAAAAAAGAATCAACAAAAGAACCATTGTTGCGAACCGATATTATCTCGGACTGTATTTTTCTATAATTCTAACTAAATCGGTCAGTGAAAATGAATTCCTAATAAGACAGGAAATTGTATTTTTTTCCCTCCGGTAGACAATTAAAATTAATAATCAGCACTTTCAAAAAAACATCTTGAATTTGTCCCTAAAAAAAGTGAAAGAAATACGATTAGAAAGCACCAGTCGGCAGGAGTTAAAATCTAGAGAATTGAAAATACTTTTTCTCGAATAGGAAATTTTTGTCTCTCTCTCCATTTGACAAGTCCCGCATCATTTCTTATTATTCTTTATTCACAATATAAAGGTCATCAAACTTTTTTTTTATTCTCTTTTTAAAACCAGAAAAAGAATATTTCCTATTAAGGAATTTTGTTTGCGAAGAGAAGTAAAAATAATTCAAGGTAAGGATAATTTCTTCTCTTCTTATTTTGTGGGTCAATTAAAAATAAGTGTCATTACAACACACTTTAAAAAGCCCACGAGAAAAACGCGAGAATGACTCATTCCCCATCTGGTTGAACTTGTTAAAAAACAAGGTCTCAAGGGTGTGTCTCAGTAATTTTTGACAAGTTCATTGTGATCAGGTCACTGAAAACTCAAAGTACCATTGCAAATGATGTGCTACGATCTCAGACAACGTTTGAATTCTAATATTAGAGCAGTACACGCTTCCGAGTCAATATACTTTCGGCTCCTCTATATACGTATGACACTTGTGCGTGAGAACGATATATATGCAGGTGTGTATGGGTGTTGGAGCAAATCGTTCGGCACTAAGAAAGAGAGAGAGAGAGAGAATTTTTTTCCTACCTTTTTCTTGGAAAAATCAATTTAAATCAAGCACTCCACAGATCTCGTTTGGAATATCTTGAGGACGTCATTTCAAAAAAATTTTTTTTTAATAATTACATACAAAATATACTTTGATAAGAATAATCCATTGCTGTTGACTCACTGACTGGAGAAAAATACGTATGAACTAACACGAACGTGTCGCTGCACTGTCCAATCGCGCACACGCCGTACGAGGAACATTTTTCAAAGATCACCAACTATGGAATTGTAAGCTCGTGGTGTTTATATGGTAAAAAAATCTACAGTGTGGCGCTATCTAGTGATAGTGTTCAACATTCCTTTGTCGAATATTTTTCCCCCCCTTGATAAGAAGCACATTTATCGGAGTCTTTGGAAACAAAATATTACAAATGCTCACACAAATGCTCTTGAAATATCTTTGAGAAAATGTGTTTATTTATTTGCTTTTCATTCGAGACAATGGAGAAATGATTTTCTTTTGTTGAAATCACGAGTTTGAAATATTTATAAGTAGAAATGAAAAACTCAGCTTTTTAGCAAAATAGCAATAAAAGTTTTTCGAGAATCTAAAAATTGCATACATGTATTGGAAGAGGAAATTTATTTTCGTTCCCTAACAGATGTGCTGTTTATTTATAGGAAAACTCACTCCAGCCAAACTGACAGCTATCAAAGAATCAAAAAGGAAAACAAAGATTTTAAAGTTCAAGAAACATTGGCACTCGCTTCCGCACTCGCCGTTCGGAGTCTATTTTGCTCTTCGTTCGTGTCTCTCATATAATCAAAATCGAACATTTTTTTTCCGTATTCAGTCTTAATTACGGATTAACTTTACCAAAAGTATCAAATTTATTAAATTTTCTATTTTTCAATTTTTCCTCCTCGGCATGAGGAGCAAAAGTTTGCTGAAGCAAAAAAGAGAGGTTAAGAGCAAAAAATAAAGCAAATAAGAATACAAAGAAGGAAATCGTCTTAAGAAAGTCATCAAACAAAGAATAATTTTATAAAAGTAAAAGTACTCACTTTACGTGGCGATGTCTGTGAATTATGAAGGGAGGCAGTAATTTCCTTCAAGACAAATCTCGTTCCCTCGCGAATTTCATTTGGCCCATAACTTTTCCTTGGACTCGACATTTTCCTGATTTTATAAATCGAATTTCCTTCTTAATTTGAGTAATATTTCCGAAAATGCACAGCTTTTCTTGAATATTTCTATAAACTTATAATAAACTTTTTCCCGCGATATTTTTAGCAAATTATGCTATTGCTTATACAACAAAAATTATAAACTACACTTTCACAATTGACAATTCTTTGACTTAGTCAATTCTTATCAAAAATTTTTCTTCTCCAGTGAAGAGGAGTTTAATCAGCTTTAATTCTCATACAAAATTTACCACTTTTTAATTACTTTTTATAAACAATTCCTTGCTAAATATCGCACTCGTCACATTAAAATACACTCTAACTTTTGTAACGGTCGAATGTCGTTTGACTGTTGGTGTTGACAACTTGAATATGGCAAAGCACCAATCAGAACGCTTCTCCAGCGTCTGATTTCGCAGATGGCGCTCTCGTTCACCCAGTCGGTAAGACAGAGCAAAGCGGGATATTTAAAAATTCAAAGTTCAATTTTTGGTTTTTTTCTTTTTTTTTTATTAATCTTCTTCTTAGAAATGTACATACTTATAAACTTCAGAAAAGTTTATAAGACTCGCTTATTTTTTTCTTATGTAAATGATACTCGCATGTTTTTTTTGTTATAAATCATTATTTACATTTAAAAAAAACACTCATTCCACCTTACAACGCATTGCATTTCATTGCGTTAAAATAAAGCACATTTTAAAAAAAGAATACTAATCACAAATTTTTTCCATTCATTCCAATCAAATTCACATTCATTCAACAATACATAAAAACAAGCTAAGGGCACTTTTTTTAGGCACTCGTTACAATGTTAAGTCGTCTTATATTTAACGCAAGTATGTTAAATATTTTTCAAAAATAGTCTATATATTACCCACGATGAATTGTTGTGTAATTATTAATTAACAACAATATTATTAATTAATAATAAAAGTATTTATTAACATTAATAATTAATATCGACAAATATCGACAATTATCGATAATTAACATTGATAATTATCGATAATTAATATTGATAATTAATTTTTATTATTAATGTTAATAAATATTAGTAATAATTATTATTATTGTGTATTAATTAATAGTAATTGACAATAATCAGTAAATAATAATAATTAATTAATAATGAATGGGAAAAAAAATTGATTACTTAATAATAAGTAATTGATAATAGTGATCTACTAATTAACTATTATTATTAAGTGGTTATTTATATTGATCTAATCACAGAAGGCAATTAATCGTATTAAAAATTTTCATCGAAATATTTAATGAACCTAGAGTCTACGAAAATATTGACAGTGTAGTAGAGGTTCTATTTTTCTCATTTTCTCCTTTTTTCGTTTTTTTTTTTTACTAAAACTTATACAATTCATTTTATTATATTTCATTATGTCAGTCGCATATAATATCGTTCTCCTCGTATTATCAAAATAAAGCACCACTAGTGACGCAATTATTAACAATTGTGTAGTAATAAAAACGATTACAAAAATTATTCTCGCTGGTAGATTTTTAAATTCAGAATCGCATGAATATATTTTCTTAAAAAAATAATTGTAACATGTATTTAATTTCGACAGGCAATATAAATTCGTAATTTAACTAAAATATTAAACACAATTATACAAAAATAGCCATGCGATCCGATTCTTTTTTTTTTTGTTTAAAAAACTGTCTTAAAGTATATATATATTTTTTTATATTCTATTTACTATTTACAATCTTTAGAAAAAAAAAGATGACAGATTTTTATAAATGCTTTTTTAATTCGTCCTCACTAACAAGAGCTTGCACTTAGATTTTTTGGGACTAACACTGATGAAATTTTTTTAAAAAGTAAAATTACCGCCATGTTTTTTTTGCATGCTCGTTTGAAAAAAAAGTCGCAATTAGTTTAAAACAAAGATTGTTCGAGAGAAAAAAAAAATATGTGAAGATAAATAAATAAAAAGACAAATTAGTTAGTGTACTAAGAGTTAATGTTAATGAATTAATAATTTTATTTAAATTAATAATTTCTAAATAACAGAAACTCTTTTTCTATAAATATAATATAATACGTATATATTAATTTTGTTTTTTTTAAGACAAAACATTTGAAATTTTTCCCCTTTTTCCAGAAAAGTGTATAAATTATGCATTGGTTTGACAAAAAAAAATATTAATATTTAAAAACTCAAGAAGACCAAAAACTTCAGTAAATTCTATTTTAAAAAGCTCTCAAAGCTGTAAATTTAAGGAAATAAAAAAAATTGAAAGAACTACATCAGTGTTGGTCCCTGGTTAAATAATATAATATAATATTTATATATATATATCCCACACGAAAAATTTGTTTACTAATTATTCTCAATTGCGATAAATATCACAAAGTTCGAATCTTCGTTTATGGTAAATTTGCAATATTTCTATTATAAATTTACAAGGTCTATTACTTTTTACCTATTTTCTTTTTTTTGGAATTATCTAGTTAGATAGCAATTAAAAATCTGTTTCAAAATCAGAAACAGTTTATTCAGATACAAAAACACGAAATAACTAAATAACTAACAAAAAAGAAAATATGTAGAAAGCGCATTTTCAGATCTACATAGTTTTACAAAAAAAAATATCCTGCCGGTAGATCTGTTTCTTAAACCTTGTGATATAGATGAAAATCGCTAAAGAAAATACGAAAAAAAAATAAGCTCTATGTATATGGATGTAATTGAGGCGGAAGACGAGGAGGAGTGGGCGAATTTTTTTGACTACTGGATGGCGGTGTTAACAAACCATTCTGATTATCAGGACTATTTGAATCAATATTGATCTCCGTCTCAAGACAATCGAGCGATAAAACATCTTTCGCCAATCGTCGTTGGGCATTTTCGAGCATTGTCAAATCGACAACGTGTGTCTGTATTCGATGTGATTCATCGAGAACAATATTTGGAACTGAGGCACGCAATCCAGAACCGGCATTTGTCTCAGTTGTTGGCGCTGCCGATCGAAGAAGATTTTCACCCTCCTCAATAACTGTATTGGCAAATGGTGTCAGCCAACGTACACAAGGCGCAAGTTGCTCCCAACTAATACACGATGTTCTAAGTGCAGCCTCACGACTCTTTGTATGATATATTGCAGCGGCTGCCAAATGACTATATGAAAATTTTAAACTACCTTCGTCAAGTGTCGCCAAATCCAATAATTGTGCCGCTTGTGAATATTGTAAGCCACCATATTGTGGATAAATAAAGGCAATTGGTCTTGACATATCGCCCGATTCAACTTGCATATAAATATTTAACCATCCGGGCGGTGTTATTGGCGATAAATTCCATCCAAGTCCCTTGAGCACTATTAATTCCTTGCCGAGAATTTCTTCCTCAGTGCACGCACCGTCCGTGACGTAAGCGAATTCGGAAATTTTCGGTGGATATATTTCTTCGACCTGTGAATAAAAATGTTCTTTTTAGAAAAATATAATGATGAAACAAAAAAAAAAAAATAACAGGGTTGCGACAAAAATTTAATTTTTTTTCCCTAACTTTTCCCTGATTTCTGGAAAAAAAATTCCTTTTTTCCTGACGCTAAAGAATATTCTGATTCACTCTTAAAATTATTAGATACTCAAAACAATGTTCTATTACACTTACAAATTTCTTCAAAAGTAAAATTAGAATTCCAAAACATCAATAAATTTTTATTCAAAGAAATATTTCATTATTATTTTTCCGTAGGAATTACAATTTTTCAAAATATTAAAATTCAAACCTTTTTGAAATTCAATAACTTATAATAATTTAAATTTCTATATAAAATTTTTCAAAAAAAAAAATAAAATTATTTACAAAAATTTGAATAAAATCCTTCACAAGAATTCAATTATTTTTACAAGTAATAAAATTCGTTGTAAGAATTCAATTATTTTCATAAATAGGTAATAAAATTTTTCACAGGATTTCAATTATTTTTAATACACTTTTAAGTAAATTCCTCGAAAAATGTAATTATTTTCAAAATTTTTTTTACAAAAATTCAATTACATTTCACAAATAATGAAATCCTTCGCTGAAATTAAAATATTTTAAAAATCTACAATTTTAATAAAATTTCTCAAAAGAATTCAATTATTTGAAAAAATGCAATAAAATTCGTTGCGAGAATTCAATTATTTTCACAAATAACAAAATTCTTTACAGGATTTCAATTAGTTAAAAAAATGTGATAAAAATTCGTTGCTAGAATTCAATTATTCTACTAAATAATAAAATTTTTCACATGATTTCAATTATTTTTAATACAATTTTATGCAAATTCTTCGAGAAATTTTCAAAAGTTGTAATAAAATCCTTAGAAAAAAACCATTATTTTTAATTAAACGAAATTTCAATTGTTCAGAATCTTTTTAAATTGTATATTTTGAAAATTTAATTAGAAAAATTATTCAAAAATAATTTTTAAAAGTCTTGCGTCTATAGTTATTTTTCTCACTATAAAAATCGAAATAAGTTGTATTTTATACTAAAACTGTGGTATTTTATTGCATTAATTTGGAAGAAGATCTCGAAAAAATCGCTATTTTCGAAAATAAGTCGAAAAATGTCGCATTTTTAGAAATTAATCGAAAAAGTTCGAAAAATTCATAATATTCGAGAACTGAATATTATAATAAAAATTTCTTTTTTTTTAATTTTCCCAAAACTTTTCAACGCTCAAATGAAGGAAATATTTTTTCCATTCAAATATTTTTAAAAATTACCACAATGAAAGAAACATAATGTAAATGAAGTATTTACTTTAAAATTAATTTTCTAAATAAGCGAAAAACAATATTTTGAAAGAAACCAAAATTAAAACGATTGATTTGAACGATTTTTTTTTAATTAGAGAATTTTCTTAAAGTTAGAATATTTTTTTTCTATTTAAATATTTTCAAAAATTACTAGAATAAAATTAAAATTAAAATAAATTCAACCTTTATAGAAAGGAATTAATTTTCCAAATTAACAAATTTTTTCTAAAATAAAATTCGAATTTTAACGAAATATCAAAAAAAGGAAACATAAAATTTTGTACTTAGAATTTTTATAATTAAGATTTTTTTGTAGTGACGCAAAATTGTAATAAAAATTTAGTTTAGAGAGAAAATGAAAAAAATTACGTTCATTTGAACATTCAGAACTTCGAAATTATAAAAATCGAAACTTTAGGAACATTTATTTAGAGTAAAAAAAAAAATTGAACTCACCTTAGAAGCTATAAACAAACAGGTGATGCCAATCAATTGCAATTGACTTTTTGGAATATTTTGATGTGTCGAGAGGTACCTGTCAATATAGTCCATAGCAAGATAATACGTCTCTCTGTGGAGTTTATAGACCTCGCAGACTTCTATAAGCCAATCTAATAAAATTGCTCTCATTCGTGGTTGCAGTGTGGGATGTCGTTGAAACATATCGGGATCCCTTTGCGATAATGTTTTTTGATCGCCCAAACACATAATTGACCAAACTTGTGAGCCATCGGCCCATGGTAGTGATGGTAATGGATTCGATTTGCCAGATCCACTTCCCGATGCCGAGGGCGTTAAAAAACATGTTGAACTCCTTAATTCCGACCAGCTCACTGGCTCCTGTTGTTCCTTTAGTGGCGATGATTGCTGATGGGGCAGGTACGTACTATCCGTGACGCCAGTTGAATTATTACATACTTCCGAGCATGGTACTTGAGATAAGGCCGGAACTTTATTTGGCGGATAAATATTTTCCGAATCTTCCGATAATTCCGTTGTGCGTCGTTTTCTCTTTAGAGTTTGATTTGATCCTTTTGAATAGATTTTCGTCTGCTTCTCTTGCAAGCTGAAAAAAACAATAATTGTTAATAATAAATAATAAATAAATAATAAATAATAAATAAATAATAAATAAATAAATACATAAATAAATACAATCCTTCCTCTATGAGGAAGCAACAAAAACATAAAGAGATAAATAAAAATAGTGGAAAAAAGAATATATAATAAAAATAATAATAATAATAATAATAACAACAGGCTTCGCACTCGATAATTAAATTTAAAAAAATAGCAAAAAGTAGCCTTAAGACCAAAAAAAAGTAGAAAAAAAATACCTATTGAAAAATTAAATTTGCGAATAAAAAAACTCGTTTTAGACACGATTCACAAAAATTTGATTTATTTTCCTGATTTTCTTCTAATTTCCATAAAAAATATTTACGTTTCTTCCTCATACTGATAACTTCAATTCTAAATTTTTACACAATTGAATAATTTTTCAATTTTTTAATTTGAAATTCTTCAAAAATAGGATTATTATTTAAAAGTAATTTTTAAAAGTAGAAATAAAAATTCTTTAAAATAAAAAATTTATTTTTAATTAAATTTGACAAAATTTCTCAAAAAATTAGAAACATAATTCAATCCTTTTAAATTTTGATTTTCGGGAATTTAACTATCTTGAAAATATTTTAATTACAATTTTTCAAAATAATCCACAAGTTTTGAACGTTCAAAAATAATTTTAATTAAAATTATTCAAAACTTTTATCATTTCTTTTTAGAATTAATAATAAATCTAAAATTTTTACTGAAATTAGTTTTTAAATCAATTTTTTTAATAGAAAGTTCAACTAGAATTCAATTATTTAAATTAAAAAATAAATAATTATATAAAATAATTAAATATTTTTTAAAATTTAATTCTTATAAAGAATTTATCAATTTTTAAAAAATAATTGAATTTCTGAGAAAAACTTTATTATTTGGTTGAAAAAAATTAAATTCTTGTGAAGAATTTTATTAAAAATTTTTCAATTGACTAAATTTTAGTATTTAGAAAAATAATTGAATTCTTGTAAAGAATTTTATTGAATTTTTTTTAAATAATTAAATTCTCGTAAAAATTTCTATTATTTGGGAAAATAATTGAATTCTTGTGAAGAATTTTATTTAAATTTTTTTAAATAATTCAATTCTTGTGAAAAATGTTATACAATTCTTTTTATATTAATAAAAATAAATAAATATTTTTTTTATTTGTGGTCGTCATAATTTCAATAATTTTTTTTTTAAATAATTGAGTTTTCGTGAAAAATATTTTATTATTTGGGCAAATAATTGAATTCTTGTGAAGAATTTTATTAAAATTTTTTCAAATAATTAAATTCTCGTAAAAAATTTTATTATTTAGAAAAATAGAAAAATAATTGAATTCTTGAAAAGAATTTTATTGCATTTTTTAAAATAATTAAATTCGCGTCAAAAATTTTATTATTTCGGAAAATAATTGAATTCCTAAGAAGAATTTTCTTATTTATGAAAATAATTGAATTTCTGCGAAAATGTTATTAAAATTATATTCAAAATAAATTGAATTTATCTAAAAGTATTTTATTTTATTTAAAAATAATTGAATTCCCGAGAAGAATAAATTTTATAAAAATTCTTTAAAATAATTGATTTTCTTTTCGAAAAAATTTCATGAAAATTCTATTTATAATTTTAAAATAATTGAATTCTTGTAAAAATTTAATTATTCAAAAAATTAACGTAATTTTGTTTTGTTATTTTTATAAACTATTATTTATAGACAATATAATAGAAGGAAAGCAATTCGTCTATTGTTCAAAATGGGGAAAACCCAACCATACATTGTAAATTTAATTTTCTTTAGCCCCTTTTAGAATATAATATGGAAAACAAAGTAATCGAAAATTGTATTTTTCAAAATTTCCCTCAAAAATCTTTTATGTTACAGTCAAGGATTATAGTAATTATAGGAGAAGATTAAGCACAACTGGCACAAGATCGTAAAATATCCAAAGAAGGATATACAAATATATTGTCCGAGTCTAAATGTCATCATTTCTATATATACCTGAAAGTTTATGCCAATATAGCAAAAATTATAATATGTAAATACAATAAATTTTTCAAATTTTTAGGAATTTCTTCCTTTTTTCAATTGATTGAAAAAAATATTATGAAAGTTAATATTAATATTAATCTTCGAAATAAATACAAATAATTAATTAGAAATTTTTTTCGGCTATTAATATATATTTTTGGCTTAATTATAACTTTACGTAAAAATTTACTTTCCTTAAAAGAAATTTATGAATATTTGCTAAACAATATTAGTGTCCCAAAATTTGAATAATTTTTTTTTTATAATTATATAATTATTAATTCACAAAACCGGTTCATCCTAATGAATGAATTATTAACTCATTCATTCAGCAGCCTTTTCTTTTAACGGTTATTTTTGTACGTTACACTTTAATACTATAATCGATAAAAAGAGGAGATAAAAAAGCATTGTCGATAAAACAGAAATTTGTCAATATTTTTAACATAATCGAAAGTAAATTATAAAAAGTTTACATAAAAATAAATTTTACCACTAATTTGTTATTTATTATTAATTATTAATAATTATCCAGAAATAATTATGTTTACTCGATAAAAATGTATAAATAAAGTGAAAAGGAACCTTTTTAGTTTCTAATTTACATAAAAAAAAAAAAAATAGAAATTAATTTTAACAGAAGATTTTTTTATATACCTAATAATTAATAATTGTTAATAAATATTTTTAAAAAATTGAATTAAAAATAATTGACCACCTAGTGGCAGTGGTGCAAACTTTACTCTTTAACGCGGGAATATTCAAGTATTATGTTGACCATTCCTGTAATTATGTTCTGCATTACAAACATAGGTTATGTTTCACATAATTTCAATAATTTTATTACATATTTTAAATATTTACTAAAGTAGCTTCAATAAAAAATTTGAGACATGAGAAATAAAACACTAAAAGTATCAACAATCAGTCATTTTTGAAATAAATAAATATTCTCAAAAAAAATTAATAAAAAATAAATAAATAACAATTAATTTATTTTTATACAAATCCTAATAAGCCTAATTTTCGAATAAAATGAAAAAATTGAAAGAAAATTTTTCCCTGGAATAATGAAATACAAGAAAGTCATTAGCATTTTCAAATGAAGCATTTAATTACATCTTTTGCAAAATAAATTTTTACCTCAAACATATTTCCCTTAAATCAATTAAAAAATCGTTAACTCTATTTTAGAGGACAATTTATAAGAATTTTTCTGAAAATTATATAACAATGAAATTCTAATTAAAGCTTGAACTGTAATATAAGCACATATTCGATTCTAACAAAAATATAATAAAAATCACATACACGAATTTTAATAATAAATAATTCTTTTTTGAAAAAATTTATGACCAAAAAGCTTGAGTGTATTTTAAGTCTAAAAATATGATAATTCTCAATTTATAGATATGCAAATCCGATTTTTATCGGATAAAATTAATTACATTGTGGCTTGGTTACCACTTGGCGAATATTCTCACAAAATCACATTTTAATTTTCATTTTTTCTCCTTTATTTCCGAATATTATTATAGGAAGAAAAAACATTTGTAGGGGAAAATTAATTTTCTTCAAAAAAGCGATTAAAATCTTAATGGATTTTGAGATGTACAAGTATTTGCTACATGGAAAATAAAAAAGCAGAACACGTTGGCTGATTTTTTTTTTGAGGTTGGTCGACGACCCGATAAGGAGATGCTTTAAAATGTATAAATAACCAATAAATTTTTGAACAAATTATGTACCGAAATTTCATGAAATGGAAATAATGTATTTTGTCAGAGGAAAAATGAGTAATAAAATTAAATAAGAAATATATTTTTCAGAATGAGAATGAAGAATTGAAAAACGTGGATGTTCACACAGACAAGTCGAAATTTCCGTCTTGTTTAAAGAAAGGGAGAAGCTATTTTCTTGAATTTTCTTGCAAATATTTGAGAATTATGTTTGGAAATTATGTCGACTGTGGTAAATAAGGTTTTCCGACCATTTTGTCGAATTTGGGATTCACTTGCACCGCCTACCATATTTCATGAGACCTTCGAGAAACGTGTGACTTTGCAACAGGTTATAATACTACAAGAATAATTTTTTTTCAATTTTTCCAAATTTGACATGAATTTCCCAAAGGCCATTTGATATGAAATGAAATTGTAGGGAAAATAATTATCATTTTCTATGAAATATAGGGTAAAATTGCCAAAGAAATGATTGACGGTCACTCACCTGGTTTGTGGCATCTTGGTACTCATCTTCCAAGCTGTCTAATCCAAAAAGTAATATTCCTGCAGATTTCCAACTTTTTTCACGTGAGACTTGAATTTTTTCCACACACCACAGTTCCACTCTGAATGAAATCCGAATAGAATTTGCACACTTAAAAGTCAAAAAAGCAAGGGAGCGCCCATAGATTACGTGCACTCGATCGCCATAATGTATGATGAAGGGCTCGGCTTTGCCTCGGTATTTTATATCTCAATTCTAATCATTTGTTCGATACAAATGAAAATAATTGTTCCCGTATTTTTCGGAATATCGTCAACAATATAAAATTCACTAAAACTAAGAAATTTTATTAAAAAATTGAGATATTAACTAGTAAAGCGCGGGAGTCCAGCGCGCGAAACAACGACCAACCCCTGCTTGTAGTGTTGTACGGTCACGCCCTCTATTCACATAACCTCAAAAAAAAAAAATTAATAATTTTCAAAAATGCCAAAAATCTAATTTTCACTTATTCACAAACTATATCTGTCCGAATTTTCAAGAAATTCTCTTGAAAAAACACAAATTTTCCCTGCACAATTGCAACACAAAATCTTCACAGCATCCCCAAGGAGACGCTTAGATTATTTCACAAATTATCACAATAAAACAGCACAAATTTGTTTTAAACAATTGCTAATTATTGCCGAGAAACTAAATAATTATGGACACTAGTTAAAATTTCTTTCACACTCTTATTAATTCTAGATTGTTAATAAATAAAAGTGGAATAATATTCCAAAGCAATTGTTGTTCAAGCAAACTGTCTACGCCAACAAGTTGCGTCGTTTCTTTAATGAAAGCACTCAATTTTGTAATAATTACTGAGTTTATTGAGCACTTTGCACTTTTAAAGAACACTCACTTTGTTTATAAAACATGAATTTCACTTCAATTTAACCCTTTGAAAACAATTAGTAATTTGCGATGGCATTTCGCGGGAACATTGATGGAGAAGTGCATACCGGCAGTGAATTAAGGACGCAGAGCCAAGTCAATACTGCGTTGCGATTGGCCAATGCTCCTGGCACAGCTGGTTCTCAGCTGATCTGTTGTACACATCGTTTACTGTCACATTGAAATGCGAATGTGTGTGTCGATGTGTTTTGTTGACCACGCGGGAAACGTACGCGCGTAAATCGCCCCTCAGCCCGCCAACCATAAAACCAAACATGCCACGTATAGTTTCTGACATATTTCTATATAGAGTGTTCAAGAAATAAGAAATTTTTTTAAACATACAATCAAATTATAATAAATGGAATAAAATTTTTTTTCCAATTTATTTATAATTAATTATTTTTAATTATTTAATAGAAAAAAATTTAATAAATTCGGAAAAAAGAATTTTTTTTTGCGTCTCAGATTAGGGGTTGTGAAACTCCATTGTTAAGCACCCTTGGTGTCAAAATCGATAATGATGACGCTTCCCCTAAAATGCTTTTTTTTATTCAAAAATAACAATTTGAAAAAAATTATTGAAAAGAATTTTTTTTTAATTTTACTTGTTGAATGGTATTTTTTAATAGTTGAACTAATCTTTTCGAATTTATTTAAATCTTCCTACTTTTTCAATATTATTAATTTGAATTATTCGAATTATTAATTTTTTAATAATTAATTCTTAAAAATAATTTTAATAATAGATTTTTAATTACTTGAAGTTCTATCTTTTTTTTGTTATTAAATAATAAATTCAAAACTTCGCGGCAAAAGTTTGAAATGCGCCCAAATAGTCAGGGCTGGTAACGGGAATAAAAGAACTAGTAGTGTTGCCAACCTGCGTTATTGAAGTCAGTTCTGATTGGTCGGAATATTTTGGTAACCTTCTATTCACCAATGAGACGCAACCTTGGAGTTTAGTACTTACAGATGGCGCTGCATGTCAAAGCTTTTTAATATTTTCTTATTTTGTCAATCTACATCATTATTGTTCGTGCGTGGGTTTTAATTTTGACATTTACAGGAGAAAAAGAAGGTTTGTTATTCATTCTCTTGTTAGCTATTGCAATAAACAAAGGTTATTTGTGTATATTTATTGTTAGTGTCAATATTCTCTTAAGAACCCCAAAAGTGTGAAATTAGTCAAACAGGTTTTAAATTCCGGGGAGAATTTGTGTAATTTGGTGATTGGAAATATTCTTGTTTACAATTTCCTTCTCGGGACATTTTTCAGTGGTAATAATCGGTAATATTTCAGTGTATATTTCGTGTTATTTGGTATATTTCGTATATTTGAAAGAACTGGTTGAGTGGCACTGGTTGTACCAGTGTAGACAACCCCCCAGCGAAGAAAGTTGATTTCAAGTATTCGGTGAGGAGGGAATTGCAGAGAACCGCTGATCTTGGCGTTGTAAGGGCGTCGTTACTGCGTGCTGTGCAATGTGGTGTATCGTGTAGGCGTTGGCGAGTGAGGGCGAGAAGACAAGACTGTTCGGGGATGTGTTCGTGAAGGATTTTCAAGTTTTCACTTGCTAACTCGCACATGTGCTTTGCATCAGCGGTAAAAAAGCGCGAGCCGTGACGCTTCTCGGCCATTTTGGTGTCATCACGTCAAGTTCCGCGATTTCCTAGCATCCAAATTCTTTGGGAAGTGTCGTTAGTGCATCGTATTCTCCCAGTGTGTCGAAGCCACGTACGTGAGATCCTCTTGTCTCATAGTTTATTGCAGGTGAATTTTCCGGACAATTTAATCCGAATGAAACGCGAGCGGCATACCGGAAGATAAAAGTGTTAAACAAAAAAAAAAACGAATTCGCGATTGTATGCCATGGATTGATTGTCGCCGGAGTATTCTGCCTAACTTATTTTACACCTGCAAAACGTTTACACGGGAAATGCACACAATCTCAGAGAATTTCGGCGCGGGATGATACAATTGTTTCATCGTCTAGAAGCTACATAGTCAAGAAGGATCATTTTTATCGGTGCATTATCCGGCCTTCAAAAACGGAGTCATCGCCCGACGGGGTGCATACGTGGAGTTGGATTATAATATGTGAGTGTTTACAAATTTTTTATTGCATGTTGAATGTGATCCTCCCTTTTTTTCTTCCGAGAAAAAATCTTTTCTCCCTCTGGCATTTAAATTACGACTCCCAATATAGACTATTTTTTTAACAACTTGTTTTCGGTTTTTTTATTTTTTCTCATATTTATAGAATTTTTGTCCATTTTTTTTACTGTCTTCCTTCAACTGTCAATTGCAACAATTAATCTCGTTTAGGTTGTATTGTAATTGTTGGTTATCAAACCGGTCTGTCAACTGTACGGACGACTCGAAAGGTATTTTTAGTATTTTAAATTGGTTTCTTCGTTCATTTAATTGGAAATCAATTTCTTTTATTGGATTCCCAGGAACAATATATTATTAATATTCGTTTCAAGTGTCAATTGCGTAAAAATCGGTGAATTTTTTGTGAAATTGAGTGCTCGTTTCCTCGAAACTCGTGGTTGATAAAATCGATTGTTTACCTCGGGTGAGTTGGGTAAATCAAAGAAGGCGTGGATCCACGCTGCTATAGGTGTTAGAATATAGTATAGAGAAAGAGTAAAAAAAAGGAAGGAAAGAAAGAAAGACAGAAATTTCCGTCAAATTGTTCATGCTTTATGCACTTGTGAATCATCCTCGAATCTTGGCTCGGATTCAGTATTCCCCCCGGACTCCTCATACGTTTCTCATTCTTTCTTGGAATGTGACGGGGAGATCATCGCCGTAGGGAGAAAACCGTGAAAATAATAGGAGGCGCTGTTCGCAGTTCTTAACATCATACTTGGCGTGAGAAAATGGAAAAGTAGCAATAATTATTATTCTAAATTTTTCCACACAGAAAGGAAGGAAATAACTCTATTTTTTTAATTCTTTAATATAGAAACTAAATTCTAGAATAGAATTAAGTTTTTTTTTTACCATTTGGGTGTTTACTTATTAAAAAAAAAAAATGTTCTTAAACTTCACACACGTTGCGATGTATAAAGAAGCACGGATACGCGATCTATGTTCATTGTTTTCATTTAAAGTCGTGAGATCCTTTTTCTTAATATGGAATAAGTGACCGTGTCAAGAAAACCGGGTCTTTTATTAACTTCTTTAGGTCAAGCTATGCAATCTGCTTTCGTACAAATTTGCGTAGGTGGAACAAACCAAACAATGTGTTCAAAGACCGTGTGGAATACGAGCTTGTGCAATTAAAACCGCAACCCGTAATGCATTTAAATATTCTCACTATTAATTAACTTTTCACATTCTTGATTGTAATTGATTTTCCTGGGCAGATGTTTGAAAAAAAACTGAATTAATTTTTTTTTTTGTATCAATTTCTATTTATTTTACTTTTACTCTTTAATTTGTTTTTACTATACTTTCTAAATTGGCGAATTTTCCTTAAATAAAATCTGTTATTAACATCTAAATTTCTATTCATTATATTAACAATTATATTATTATTTTATATTATTATTATTAATATTTTCTTTATTCTTTAATTTTTTTTCTTTATCGTTTTATTTTATTTTAAATTTTATTTAATTTAATTTTTTTCTTTATTTTCTTATTTTATTTTATTTTTTTACAATTTTAAAATATTTGTTTCAGTGATAAAATAGTTTTTGGCCACTGAACGATTATTTTTACCATTTTTCGAAGCAAGTGACATATTTTTTTTCTAAATTCATTCGTTTTTAATTTCCACAATTTTTTGTGTCTTTATTTTATTTTTTTTTTGAAAGTTTCAACATCTTTCGAAATACCTTTTGAAATAGAAGTAGTTCAGTATAAAAACGTACTCTTGATTTTCTGCAAACAACCCTAGAAAGTCATTTGCGCAATGAATGAAAAGGGTGAAAAGCCATCACTTTGCACTTGGCCTGCCCTTCCTTGCACTCGTATTCATAGATCACGGGTCAAAGATTATTTTTAAGGCTAACTATTAAAAATTTCTATCATACTATAAGGATTTTTTTCTCCATTTTTTTAGTCTCCGGAAATGTTATAATTACGATCGTTAATTAATTTATGTTTACATTTTATTTATCGATAGATAATATTTTTTTTTATACTTTATTTTACTATTTTACTTTACTTTTTTTTTACTTTCTTTTCATTTTTTTTTGTTTTAAATTTTCAATAAATTTTCAATTACACTAGGAAAAATATTTCCGTTATTAATACAATTATTTTTAACCTTTGACGAATTATTTACAAATCATAATCTTTTGAAGGAAGATATCGAAAATATTTTTTTTCAATGTTAAGAGATAAAACTTTTTTTTTTCATCGTAGAAATATTATCTGAGTGCATAAGACGGATAAGTATCGTGTATTTACACAAGCTCAATATAACGTTCTTGGGACATCATGATGATAATTACGTGCGACCAGGCGAATTGTCACTTCATTATCACTTCTTTAATTAGTTCTATATTCTTCCTTCTAAACGATTGTTTTAGTGCTTGTCTAATAATAAACTTGTAATAATTTTTTAATTTTTTAAATGTTATTTTTAGATTTTTTTTAATGATCCTAGAAGTTCTCAACGTAATTAATTTATTTCTTCGTCAAAATAAATTTTTACAATAATTTTGTTTAACAATGAAGAAAAATTAATTATAAAGTTTGTAGAATTTAAGTTTTAACTTTTATTGCAACTAGTAATTTAATATGAAAATATTTATAATAAAAAATATTTTGTTGAGAACTTGTGGATCATTTTTTTTAAAAGCGGATACAAATTTTGAATTTTTAACTAAGAGAGATAATTTAAAAATTTCCATAAACTTGTTGCGAGAATATTGTGAGAGGATTTAATAATTTATGCATTTTATGGAAATATATTTTTGAGGGAACTAAAGAAAGGGGGAAATTTTCCTAAATTGCATTTTGTTGAATGATATCCGTTATTCAAGTGAGAACAAAATTCTTTGTTGGGATATAAATATTTTCAAAAAATTATCGTCTGTATAAAAATGTGAATATAAATTAATATTTTGAATTTAAAGAAGAAATAATTAAATTTCGTTGTTTATTTGGAAGCATTTGAGAAACTTTAGGGGATGGATTTATTGTTATTTCTTTTTAAATAAACACGCACTTGTTTCGAGAGTGACCACACATTTTGTGTTCGTGTAAACGTAAACATACGATATTGACAACGTTGCTCATTCATTGAATATATATGCACCCACAGTAGCTCTTTTACACACGAGGTATATAGCCTTTTAAATGAACCGGAAAGAAAATTGGGTCCGTGGTCGCGAGAGTCCTCATTTTTGTATGTAACGTAATAAAAACTTTTTACGATCCAATTCCCGTTTATTGTAACACACATCTTCGAAAAGCCGCACGCTATTATTCAATTAAGTAGAGAATTTTTTTTTGTTTTGTTTTTTTATATAATTTACACTCTTTTTTTTAAATTTCGCACTAGATTTTTATTTCGAATTTTAGATAATAATAAAATTAAACAATTAACTAAATAAATAATTTAAAATGTTGATATATTATCATCTATTGTTTTAAATAAATAATAATTAAATTAACATTATTACTTTATTAAATAAATTTTATTATTAATTTATTAATAAAAATAAATCATTAAAATAGAAGTTGTAATTTTGTAAATAATTGTAAATAATCGTAAAAAAATATAAATAATAATTTCATTAATTTCATGAGTATAAATGTTTTCAATGAATGTTTTATAAATAATTATATAAATAATTTTTTAAAATGTTCCTAAAGTAACAATATTTAGTAATTTTTTTACTATAAAAATTCATTTTGTCATGAAATAAAATTTTAAAAATAAATAAAATGTTCTTTCTTTTTTAAATTAGAATTTTATTACAATAATTTTGTGTCACGTATCATAAAATTTAATGTTCCAAAATTTCTATACCACGTTCGAACGAAATATTTTCTCTCTATAAATATTTTTCAAAAAATACCGATTGCATTAAAAATTTAAAAAAAAATGAATGGAACATTTACAAACTTTGTAAATTAATTTTTAATACGTGACGCAATATTATTGTACATATAAGAGAATTTGCATTTGAAGGAGAAATAAATAAATTTCGTTCATTTGAACGTTGAGAACTTTAGGGACATAAATTAATTATAAAGTTACTGAATATGTTAAATTTAAGTTTTTAATTTTCATTGCAATCAGTAATTTATGAAAATACTTTTAATTACAAATATTTTGGCTATTCACACGTTCAAAACTTGTCGAATAGAATTTATAAATAATGAGATTATAAACAATAGTTTCGATAAATAATAATTTTAGGAATAATAATTTCGACAAATAATAATTTTAGGAATAATAATTTCGACAAATAATAATTTTAGAAAAATAATGGTCCTATTAATAATAATTTCGACAATTATTAATAATTCTATAAATAATAATTTTACGAATAATAATATTTTTCATACGAATGTAATAATTTTATGTAAATAATAATTTTATGATTAATTTTTCACGAATATAGTAATTTTAAAAATAATAATGTACTGGAAAAAATTATATTTAATTCAAATAATCTACTTGGCTATTATCAAGTAGCTAATTAATAATAATTATATGCAGTTGACTGAAAAATCTATAATTGTCTTTCTTCATTAAATTTAAATTCTCTTGAAATAAATATTCAAATAAAGTAGAAAATTTACTTAATTAGCTTTCAAATAAATAAAAATTCTCCGATGTGAAAGTCTTCGAACTAATTTTTTTTAGGGAACATTCAGTTTCATAATGTTGAATACATAATTTTTATATTAGTTTAATTTCACTATTTTTAATATTTCTATTTTTTTCCTTTTTTTATAACTGATTTTTTATTTTGGTTTTTAATTCACTAAAATTTTGAAAGTTCAAATAAACGAAAATTTTCTATTTTAATAAATAAATAAATAAATAAATAAATAAATAAATACATTTTTTTATAATTAAATTTTAGAAATTTAAAACAATTTTTATTTAAATTTTCAGATTT